ATAATTTTCCGCAATAGGTAAAGATCAAAAGAGATGAATCAAACACGATTTTGTGAAGAAAACTTACCAATTTTATTTTTAACATATATATGAAACAAATATGTAATTGCTTAACAATTGAAACACTTCAGAAAAGGTTTGTGTCGTTTTCATTTAAACTTGAGAAAAAACTTTGCAGTGCAAAGATAATGCTTCGGGAGAATTGGACATACTATGGTCGCAACATTGCGGTGTTTATGAAAATAATGTTAAAAATTACGTTTTTATAGCATTGTACACCGAAATTGACACAAAACTAAATGAAGAATCATTTTATAAAGAGGGAATAAATTTCTTTCCATACATATCCGGAGGAGAAACGCGCCGGACGCGGGGTGAAATCATTGGTTGAAAAAAAGATTATTTATCAAGCAATCATGGTAGGCAGCGTTTCGATTAAATGAGAACTTCGATCACACATATGCCGTATTCCATACTAAAAATTTTCATTATAGAGTTTCGACTTACCTGTCATCGCGGAATCAGATCATTGCGCGATAACAGCGTGTTTTCACGACCCTCATATTATTTTCGCTGGCAGTATTTCGTAGTGGTTTCCACGTGAAAAATAGATTATTTAATATAAATCAGCTCGGAGGCAACAATGCGATTGCAATGTTATTTCTAGCATTAGTTTTTAACCGAATATTAATTAATTATTTTCAATTGCGTTATTACTTTTCCCTTACATTGCGCTACAACTCGGTGGGGTTAGAGTGATTTTTAGATTATTTTTTGGAAAAATTTATTCAATTAACCAACAAAGAATTCCTTATATTAACTCCCTTATTCGATAATTTTTTTTAAAGAACTCTGATTTATCCTTTTTTTGACAGACATACGAATTGTATCATTCAGAATTACAATTAACGCAATGACACACACCCTTTCTTCAGTGAATTTACGTATAGTGTATAAAGAAAAGTATGATTAATTTTTCTTTTTAAATAAATCGTAAACAGTCTTCGCTTAACATCAGTATTATTTCATTGATTCTTTCTTACATAAATATGCTTATAAAAATAATATATACTTATATTACTTTAATAATAACACAAATTTAAAAAAGGATTTAAAAATAACACAAATATAAAAAACACAGTTTTAAGCGTAATTAGAGCACATTAGTCGAATGTATACGTTTTTTAAGGAAACATGTATATATTTTGTGTGTAATAAAAACTTTCATTTTTGTTTTTTATAACTTCTATGTGTCTCAATTAAAAAAAAAGTCTTCCCCTTTTAAATAGAATTGCTTTATATTAGAAACAATCAGGCTGAAACGTGACGCAATTCCAATGGAATATATAGAGGACAATGTTCCAAGTACATTATATATTTATATATATATATATTTATTTATTTACTTATCTATTTCCCACACAGCATATAATATTGCAATAATATTGCAACTCACAATGCAATATTATGTAAAACTACTGAGACCTTACATTGCGATATATCACAATGTAATATTGCAGTTATTTTGTTGTGATATTACAACGTGATATATCATTCTGCAATATTATTACAATGTCGTCTAAATATTGCAGTGCAGTATTACCGCAATATCGTCCAAATATTGCAGTGTGATATTTATATTTATATTTATTTAATTGTCAGTAATCGATGAAATTCAGAAGTTGAAAGAAATAAATGCAGTCTTGGTTTCGGATATTGAAGCTTTAAAACACCAATTAGCTGTGAAGGATAAACTCTATGAGAATCTGAAAGAGACAAATACAGCTTTGGTTTCAAATATTAAAGCTCTAAAAAATCAATTTGCTAAGAAGGATAAATTCCATAAGAAGCAGATAAAGCAGAAGATCGTAGAAATATTGAGTCCCTGTTTTACGTCTGGACAAATTAAAATGTACATGAATCCGACGTATAAGAAAATTAACTGATCTTCAGAGAATATTTCGGCTGCAATATCTTTGAAAAGTGTGAGTCCGAAAGCTTACAAGTATTTGAGAAAAACGAAACAGATTCCGTTGCCCGCAATGTCAACTCTTCGAAGGTGGGTAGCCAATTTCGACATTGATGAAGGCATCTTAAAAGACGTTCTACTATAGTAATGAGAGGCAAAAGGCAAAGCTTGACAGAGATGGATAGAGCAACACGTTTCTTTGTTTTGATGAAAATCATTTATCAAATCTAATTCAAATTGACAGAAAAAAGGAAAGAGCCGTTGAACCTCATAAAAGATGCCAGGTTGTTCTTGTTCGTGGTTTATTTAAAAAAAATGGAAACAGCCCGTCTTCTATGCCTTTGATCAGAATATCACAAAAGAAATATTGTTGGACATAATTACCCAATTTTATAACAGTGGCTATATACTGTATACGCAATGACTAGTGATTTGGGACTTTCAAATCAAAATTTGTTGAAAAAGTTGGACATCAACGAAAATACTAAAACATTCTTTCAATATCCCTGCGACGAAGATGTAAGAGTACACGTTTTTCTAGACGTCCCTCATCTGTTGAAATTACTTCGGAATCATTTCCTTGATTCCGGGTTACATGTAAATGGGCATTTTGTTACCTCAGCAGCTTTGAAAAGATTGTTACAAATCAACAGTACCGATTTAAAAATTGTACATAAGTTATCGCAAACGCATTTGGATGCCCAAGGACCACAACGCCAAAATGTGATACTCGCAACACAACTATTTTTAGCAACAAATGCAGCAATGAGTGGTGTGGTTTACGAGTATTAATGGATAATTGTCCAGAATGGACTGCAACGGCTAAATTTTTAAAACTGTTTAATGACTGGTTCGATCTTTTCAATAGTGTTTCTAAATATGGATCTCATCCTGGAGTAAATGCTTATATGATATTAACATTTTGCAACAGAATCAACTTCTTGCTGAAGTAACATCTATAGTAGAAGGAATGAAAGTTGGTAACCGACAAACTTTATTACCATTTCAAAAAGGCATTCTCATCTGTAACTCATCGTTGGCAAATTTGTATGATGATTTGAGGAAAAAATTTAACACAAATAATGCTAAAATGTTATATGTACTAACGAACCGGTTGAATCAAGATGTCTTGGAAAATCTATTTTCCTACATATTACGAGCTATGGGCGCAGTAAACGATAGACCTACAGCATTAGGTATTCATTACAGGCTTCGGTGGTACACATTGGGGAAACATTCTGTGAACATCTTTACTGAGGGAAACAATACCAGTGCTCATGATAACTCGATTCAGGAAACTTGTCTGACCAACGGCATTGTCGACCACGATGATTTGAACTTAGAACCACTGGTTGAAAATGACATTGAGTGTGGTGGTTTTCAAAATGAATTGCAGCACGATAAGGAAGCCAATACTTCACATGAAATGAATACAGAGAGATTTTGGTAAAGCTCAAAATAAAAATATAAAATATAAGTATGATAAATAAATAAAGTATAATATAGTAAATAAATAAATAATAAATAAATAATAAATAAATAATACATTTATTTATATAATAAATAATAAACATAAACATATAAAACATATATAACATATTAATATATCTACATAAATCAAAATATATCCACTTATAATATATATATTATATGTTTCACCTTCTATTATAGACACTAATATTCTATGTTCCTTAAATTATATTCCTACTCCTGAAAGAATTGGCATTATTACATGAAGTCGAATAATTAGATGTTACGGATGACATTCAAAACGAAGGGCTCAAGTATATCACTGGTTACGTAGCATTTCGATTCAAACACAAATATCCATTTTTAGGTATTTGTACTGAGTTGCTGATTGATCCAGAAGTCGATTGGATTAATTACATTTCGAGAGGACATTTGATTAGCCCTTCTTCTATATTACTCGTTGTTGCAAAAATTGTGAATACTGAATTTGAAGATTTCCATAAAATCTCGATTCGTAAGGATCCATGGATCTTTAAAACAGTATAGCTGATATAGAACGGAGGCAAAAATGATAAATATACTCACGAGAAGTATTATTGTGTTTAGTACACGCACATACATAAGAGTTAGAAATATTAATAAAAAAATTTTCACTGATAATTATATTTAAAATAAAACATAATAAAAAAATGTCAAAATTTACTAATCGAAAAATATCTAAATATTAAATCTGTTATTTAATGTTATCTGTTTAATATTAAATAACAGATAACACATTAATCATTAATATTTATCATTTATCATTATAATAACATCATTATAATAACATCGCATTATCATTAATATTTATCATTTATCATTAATAAAACATTTATCTGTAATTTAATATTAAATCTGTTATTTAATGTATTATCTGTTATTTAATGTTGTTAAACCTGTTATTTAATGTTACTTAATATTATTTATTAATTTTAGTTAATATTATAATAATTTAATGTTGTAATAATTTAATGTTAAAATAATTTAATGTTTAACAAAAAAAATTAAATTTTCTTAATATTTAATTTTCTCTTTATTAAATTTTCTTAATTTCGGCGATACGTATAAACAATAAGGCTATTTAATTGTATGCGCATAATATTTTGCGTTTCTTCGTTTAAAAATCTCCCCCGTTAGAAGTCATTCAAGATGGCGAAGTTGAGTCAGGCTCCGTCATTGGCCAGCGAAAAATGCCTGCGCATAATTGCACACCTTTATACTACCACCATGATGATAGCAATAATCGTGGAAAACATATTCGCGAGACATAGATTAATAAATTATTTATTATAATTCGTACGAATTTTTTTATTAATAACAAATATTTTATCTTATATAACAAAAAAGGTGACTTTGAAATCGCAATCAACCGCAATGGACGTATAAAATTCGTAATACATGCACATACACATCTTTATTGAGTACATACACACAGAAATCCACAATTTGTGCAGAGTGATAGATAAACAAAGCAGGATTAAAAAAGTTATATAGACATTTAAACTTCGCGTCATCACGGCAGGTTGAGATGAGAGTGGGGCGAGCCACGGAGTCCGGAGTCGTTGTTGACAGCGCAAATGTGAAAGTGACTTGTCGTTGAAACGCACTGCCGTGACGAGGACGTCGCTGCGGTGCAGCGTGGCCGTGTAGAGTCGTAAACTCTAGCGTGCCGCGGCGAGTGAAAACCATGACCGCGAACGTGAGAACAGGTGAGTGAGTGATTAATAAACGGCCCGCGGCCGCGGAGTATAGTCGTCGTTTTCCGGGTTTAACGCGAATCGAGACCGAGGGACGCACGAGTCACAGGCAGTCAGAGCAGGGTTCTCGTCCCGGAAATCAGGACACGCGTCGCGCCCCATATCCCGTACGTCCGCGCTGTTCTCGCAAAACAACAGATGGCCCGGGTCGTTGCCGATCGCGGCGGCGGCGCGGCGAACTCTTGACTTCCCCGCAAGTCCCCAACTCCCCACGATCTCTGCTCATTCCGCCTGCGTTCGCCCCGCAATCGACGCGCGAGATAAGGCACGCTGTGTGAGTCTGACGTCTCTCACTTATCGCCGCGAATGCTGTTGATATCCGCCGCGTTGAGTGGGCGTATCTCACAATCGTGCGTCGTAAATATACGTCTGCCCTCGTTCGTCCTGTTCCTCCATCCGTCGCGCATTTTGTTTTTGGAAAATTTTTTTTTTTTTAGCTGTAATCGTCTCTATACGCTCGGCGTTGCTCACGTGTGCGCTCGCTTCGCGATTGTGTGTGCGCGCGTGCGCGCGCGAAACGCGCACGTACCAGCGTGTGCGAGGAACCGATCGTGCGTCAGAACCGGGGCTACTGCCTACTCACTACTGTCCAGTTCTGATCATTCTCTCCTGTGTCGTTACTTTCAGACATGCGGATACCGACGCGCACGGCACCTCGGCCTCCGGGTCAGAGCATAACGCAGAGAGACCCGATCTGGAGCACCAGGTAAAACGTCCTGTTCCGCAAGGTCGTCTGTGCGCTGTGTGTGTAACAGGGACCTTACACAGTCAGTAATGGGTACTTTCCATTTGGTGATATAAGTGATACAAGCATCAGCTCTAGCTTTCGTCACGTCCAACGATTGACGAGGATAAAACGACACTTGTGCCATCAAATGAAAAGCCCTTGATACTGTCAGTACCAAAATATACTGACAATAGATCTGTTTTCTTCTGTGATTCAATTAGTGTACATTTTTGGGATTTAAAACGAGCTATATATGTTTGATATTTGACGAAAGCGAGGTAGAGAATTCTAGTAGTACAGTCTAGTGCAGAAATAATGAAATAAGCCTACTATTATTGATCCTGTGTTAATGTTTCTCGGGCTTTCATACATTCTTTTTGAACAAAAGCCATGTATCTCTGCTTTTGGTACATCGTTAAATATTGCTTCGGAGTGAAAGGCCAATCAGTATCAGGCTGTCCCTTGCCTTGGAGAGACCTGTATATTTATGTTCACGAAACGTTGACATTCCAATAATAGATCTGAATAGTAAACACGATAATCCACGAAATACATATAGGTGTTTCCCAGGAAGAGACACAGTGACTGCATTCAGCAAAAAAAAAAACAACTTTACAATGATAAGATTTATATGATATATTTTTTAATACAATTTTTATTTATACATTTAGAATCATTAGTGAGGAACTAAGGACAAAACCAATCATCATATTAAAGAGTTTTACAATTTCAGAGCTTCTGCTCATAGCCAAGTGTATAATACAGTGATTATTTCACTTTGTTTAATATTGATTAATTAAATGAGTGTTTAATATTGATGAAAAACAAGAATTTAATAATTCACTGGGTTACACTGCGTCATCTCTTGCTAGAAAGCATCCATAATCTTTATATTGATGTGTAGCTTATATTGATGGTCCGATTTAGAATATTGGCAGTGATCCAGATTGCTTCATATGCTCGAACATTATTACTACAGTGATATCCTTTTCCACAGAACTTTACTGATGCTTGAAAATTAAGAAATCCAGATCACAATTAGTATTCTATATCAATCTACAATCCATCAATTAAGCACACACAATTAACAGTATCATCGATTCTTATTGATACTAATAGTATTATTGAATGTGTGAGGTTCACACACACACACACAATGTACATAAAACTGAGCTGAAATATTGCCAATAATAATGATCATGAAAAGTTGTAAAAATATGATGTATACTGTTAGTATACTGATTCAATATTATTAATAAAAAAAGAAGAGCTATGAATATAAAAATTTAACTACAAAAGACACATCTCTTATCTCCGAGAATGCCTGTGAAACTTCCATTTAGATTGTCAGCGTTCGGAATTTTTCTAATCTCTGCATTATTGTGATAACGTTTGTGTTTTTTCAGTAACGATATATTCGGAGGTACCCTGACGACGCAACCTGGACAGAAGAAAAAGCCACCTCCTCGACCACCACCTCCGAAATTTAATCGCAATTATCCGCAGTATCAGAAAGATCAGAAGCCGAGAAAGCCAGTAAGTGTTGTAATTTATAAATTTATTATCCTTATTGTGCCTAGTTCTTGACAAGTCTCTACTTCGTGTGTGTACAACAGTTTAACATGTTCACGACGTAACCACCGTGTGGATAACCATTTCTATTCTTCTGGATTATTATCAATCAAGGAAACACTTTCTACAAAAGTCTACAATTGCGATATTTTTATGACCTAAACGCTGCGTTTCGAAATTCACTGTCAATGCTGAAAATCTATAGTTCACATAATATAAATTATAGATTTGTAGCACAATAAGCATAATTAAAATATATATCCGTGCATGCTAGTTATGTATCATAACCTACCAGTATCTCCGATGGTCATGTCATTCGCATTAAGGAACGGTTAGTCGTAAATATGTTGTCCCTCAAAAACGCATTAATAGCTATATTTTATTTTGTACGCTAGGCCAGGCCGACGGAGCTGTTGACTAATTTCTTTGGGCGAAAGAAGCAAGAGAATCATCTTCCATTCCGTCCAAGTGGCCAACTACAAAACCAGACAACGCAGCCCTCGAATTCAATCGCGACGATATCTTTGATAGATCTCAGCCCACCTGGATCCCCAACATTTACGACACGCTCCAGCGATGGTGTCAGTGTAGACAGTTTCGGCAGTGATGGAAACTCCAATCCATCTGTATTCACAAGCAGCGGAAATACATCACAAACAGAAAGTGCCTTCGAGGATGATTTTGACTTTTTCGGTCAAAAAGACCCATGGCAGACTAAAACAGCAGCGCAAGATCCGTTCGGGCCTCTAGAGGACACTTACTCGAACGTGTCTCAAGTCGCCAGCGGTCCCTTTTCTTTTAATTCCAACAATCGTGAAACAAATCAAGTGCCTTCCAATCTAATCACTTCTAAATCTCTCGTTACATCGATGCCCACGATAATCCGAGCGAAACCTTCTAAACCTCCGGCACCAAAGTTACCGTTTAAGAAACTCGAACCGATACCTAAGGAAACGTGTATCGACTTCGTAGTCTCGAGTAGCAGTACAATGAATAAACCGTTGACGCTGCATTTCTCTAATGCGTGGTCCAACGATGGTGAAGAAAATGACAGTCCATCGCCACCCATGCCGACGATTCCACCACCGGCATTACCTGCGAATTATTTGGCAGAATTTAGCAGTGATCTTGAAGTGAGTGTTGTAAACTTGAAGCTGTGTATGACTTGTATTTAAAGAAAGATAAGATGCATTTATAATTAATATTGATAATTTACAGGGAGGTTCCAATGAACCTTACGGTATTGCGCTGTACGATTTCTCCGCGACTCATCCAGATGACTTAGCTTTAAAAGAGGGCGACATTGTGCAATTGGTGAAGAAGGTTAACGACGACTGGTTGGAGGGAAGAATAGGAAATCGTCAAGGGATCTTCCCGCTTAATTTTATTGACATCAAAATACCTCTGCCAGATTTATCAGACAATGTGGTCACAGCCCTTTACACTTTTCCAGGAGAGAACAGCGACGATTTGTCATTTCAGGTATCAAAGATTAAGACAAAGAATTGGATGAAAAGTCTATTATGTTCCTAACATTGTTCTAATACTTCAGGAGGGAACGAAAATTACAGTCATATCAAGGATATCGGAGGATTGGTTATACGGTGAATGCAACGGTAGGAAGGGACAATTTCCAGTAAATTATATAGACAGACTTCCGCGTAATATTTAAACGTTTTTTCAATCAATATTTTGTATCCAGTTTGTATTAATATTTACTACGAGAGCCTTCGTATTGCAAACATTATTTAGAATTATTAATTACATCTTTATAAATTAATAAAAATGGTGATAAAAAGAGAAAGTGTACAAATGGATTTTTTATGATGTAATTTTGATCGTGTACAAATCACATAAAGAGAAAGAAAATTTTAGAAAATTTTACTGATTAAAAGACTGAATCTTACATACGAGTTTTTATCGCCGTGTTCCGATAGACATAATTTCGAAATTGCAATATTTGTCTCTAGGAATTAGAAAATAGCATCTGCAATTTATTGGTGATATCTAGAATTCATTTAGCTTACTCTTTTTAAAACTTTCAAGCCTTATACCGTTTGCAAAATTTTGTAAAGGATACTACGAAAACCATATACAGTGAATCACGTTTTTATCTTATTTTTAGTTTGATATTTATACTCGCATCTAATGTTTGAGAGTTTAACTTTCACATTTGTACATGTCTTATATTTTTCTATAATAGTATAAAAAAATATTTCTACATTCATTTTTTTTTATTTATTGTGTAATTGAGAATTTCTGTATATCTGCGTTTTTGAAAATTTACTTTAAATATTTCAAAATCTATTTTTTTTATAAAGAAATTTTATATAAAGACATACTTTGGCAAACATACATTTGAAATTTTTTGGCATGTACAGAAGATATAGTCATATTTAATCATAATTTAAATAAATTATTATGTGTGTGTATAAAGTATAAAATAACAGATCTCTGCCAAGATCTACAAATTATTAACATTGACTAATGTAAATGATACATTTTGATTAAGATATTACCTTCCCAAGCGTTAGAAGTTCGTTTTTTGTAGACATCTCTAAACAATCAAATGAAAAATAATATATATAATAACAGTCTCTGTTAAATAATTTCACTGATATAGATATACTATTTTGGAATACTTTTTAGTGAGATCTAGCATAAAAACAAAACTTTTTCGTTGTATATTGTGTTCGAAAATCTAATCTTATTGTTAGATATAAAGTTATGAAATTATTTGATATATTTATGAGAAATATAAATTGAGATTTTCTTTAAATATAAATTATCAATTTAAAGATGATTATATTAGTATATAAATAAATATGTTGAATATCTATATAACTGTATTGTATTACACACGTATTTTTTGTTCTAGAACTTAGAATTTATTTCAGTAAAAGTTACCAACGTGGTACAATTGTAAATGTATATTATGTGAATGCATAATTGATTGGGAGGGAGGGAGAAAAACAATTACGTAGTTTAGATAACTGTTCATTTAATCTACTGTTAAAATGAGTAATTATTATTGTATATGTGTATACTTAATCATGTTCATACGCAAGTTGTGTAATTATGTTTGATACAATTAATTTAGCATATACATTGAATTAGAATATTTCATAATGCAAGTCACTAGCTAAGTTTTAGAAAAAAAAACAAAATCAGCAGTGAACTTTACATATTGCTCTTAAGTTATTTCGTATTTGATTTGAGAATAGTGGTACAAGTTCTAATAGTACATTTAATTCTTGTACTCTGCTCGGAATTTTTGTTAGTACAGTATTAACACGATATCCCAGATTGCATCAAAGATTTGCATGGGGACCAGAACGTTAGTTTATAAGACTAGAAAAGCCGAATGATGATAGCGACGAAAATGGAAGTTATAGTTAAAATGTAAGTTATAGTTAAAATGTAATAACAAATCATCTTTACATGTAATTAAATCGCTATTTAATTCTAAGAACGCTGTTATACAGAAGACGCCTAATACGCAATGTGATATTTTGCAATGTTTAGTGTGTAAACATTTCATGTGTAAACAAAATAAAGTGCAAAAAAAAAAATTAACTTGCCCGAGTATCATTTTTACTTCCTGAGAACTGACTTCCGGGATCAATTTAAAAAAGATACGATGAATATGTATATAAAATAATCAAGAGAAAGACGATTATTTATCACGTTCGAGTTGAATGTGTACATATCATTTCTGTCGAGTTTATCCTTGAAACGGATGTATCTATGTAGGTATATGTATAATGCAACGTTCCTATATCGAAGAGTTTTCTTCCTAATGTACTTTGCTTTTACAAAATTAGGCAACGTTACTGTCTCTTTCATTGCAATTATTTCTATTATTGAATATTATTGAATTATTTGCTACATTATTGAATTGTTTGCTTCGTACAACAGTTCCGTTAGCAACGTAATGCAAAGATTGTATGTAAAATGTCTGTGACAGCTACTCCATGTATTGCACCGCAAGACTTTTGTGACACGACAGATGTGTATAATTTTTCAACGTTTGCGTAACGACATTTCTAAATTTATTTCCTGTAAGGTAATACAGAAAAAAGTTTATTGCGAAATTCCAGTGATATATGTGAAAGAGCAGGCCGTGGCACCACTTCAGTAACATCTTCTCTTGCAACCTGAAAAACACCGCCATATTAAAATGTCTATATATACATATATATCTTTTTTTTATTATAAAATAAAGTATAATAACTGTAATTGTATCAATATAAATATTATGTATCATATTAGGTGTAGTAAAAAGAAATCCATTATTTTTCCAATAGATTTCATGCAAAAATAATGGATTTCTTTTTACTACACCTAATATATTACATAAAAAATATCGCAAGAAAAACAATTTGAAAACAATGTAACATGAAAAACATTTTTAATGTCAATTTTTGTATTTTGTTCAATAGATATTTTACCAGTGTATGTATCTCTCGTTATCTCCTGTATTACTAGGATGTTTGATTAAAATCACGTCCCAATAAAGTTCCAATGTTTCGACAATTCCCAATGGCAGCAGCAAGATCAAATGTACTATCGATACCGCGAGCAACGTTCTACTTGAATTATTTGTCCTATTGCTTCTGTATCTAAAATTATCTACAGGCGAAGGTCACGCTGTTAAATCTCCCGTACGATGACGATCGATGATCGCGACGAAGACTTACGAGTTAATTCGTTGTGAATCTTGTAAGACCTCCTCATACGAACGAAAAGTAACAGATTGCCGATCGATATAAAAAGCAAGGGCAGCCACGTGGACAGGGCGATGTAAAAGTACATAGCGCTGCCCCATGGCTTCATCTTCTGGCACGGTACAAATTCAAAAACGCTGTCGGTTTCGTATCCTGCAATCAGCGTAAGTCAGCATTCATCCACGAAAAGAGAACAATATCATACATAATTGTATAGTAACGCAATTGATTCGTGAAGGAAGAAAGGCGATGATGTATATATGTAGATACGCTTTACCGCCAGAGTACAGCTTTGTTAAGGATATTGTGAAGCTTATGCAGACTAGGCTGGTGATAATCGTAATCGCGGAGCGATTTTGGTCGCGGGCTCCGAATGGAAACATCACAGCGATGACGCGCGTCCATGTGAGAGCGACAATCAGCCAGGTCGATGTAAATTGAAAAAATTCCATGCTCACGGAATTCGCGCCGCATAAGAATTTGCTGTTCTGCAAGAAAGTTATCCTGAGCGTATCGTGCAAAAGTGTGATATTCTCTCGCAATCCACTTTCTTTTCCTAACATTCCAAGATTTATCGAGATGAATTTTACACGTTACCTGCTCGGAAATTATTTTTTTTTAATCGTATACACACAGAATTTTTATTATTATATTATAAGTATAAAACAATAAAACATTGCGTAAAAAAAGATATCAAAATATTCTCATATGGGATATTAATATCACTAACGTGTATTGAAAAAAAGCATTTGTTGCAAAAAGAAATGAAAACAGAATAATATATTGTATAAATGCATTCGTATTTGACAAACAAAAATGTTGATTGCTAATAAATGAAGATATCATTAAAAAATCAGGTACCGATTAAATAAATTACCATGACAATCAACATGTGTTAACAATAAGTCTATTTTTATAACTGAACTTTCGTGCTAACTCTTGGCTTCTGAAGTAAAAAATAATCTACTTGATATTTAAAGTATGCGAGAGAAAGTTCCAATACAACAATAACGGTAGGGTTGCCACAAATTTTTCATCCTAAAATTCCCTGACATTTCCCTGATGTCCAGAGATAAAATTTTATAATTTTCCCTTATTTTCAATAATACATATTTTGAAATGTTTTTTGTATTTTCTTTCTGATTTCAAAATTGTTAAATATTTTGTTGATCGAGCAATTTAACGTAACAGTGTAATTAAATTACACTACATTTAATTAAGTTAGTAGTATTTTTTGTTTTTTCCTTTTATGAACATGATTCTTTTCCTCTTCCTATTTTTCTTTTTATTGCTAACTTAGAATATAAGGAACATAAATCAATGAATATAGTTTATTTTTTATCAAAACTACGTCCTGTTTATTAAAATCTCACAATCTGCTATTATAAAGGTGAACATATTTGAAAGAAACGTCACAAAAATATAAAATTAACATTTTATTTTATTCACTTATGTTCATAAGTGACATAGAACTTTCTTATATAAAACAAAAGAACAAACAACTTTAAAATTTCGATGTTCTTAGTAAAGCATTTTAAATCTCTAAAAGTTTACGTTAGCATTTTAACATAAAAACTAAAATTTCAAATCCTTAAAGAAAACTTAAATACTGCAACATAAAAAATTGAACAATTAAGCCTCTTAATCAAATGTTAATGTTAGTAACGTTATTTCTTCATCAAGAGCACTTAATTCATTAGTTTTCTCTGTCAAAAGTTTTGCCTTCTTAGTCTTCAATTCTGAAATTTTTTTAAACAAAGATCCTTTTTTAGCAATCTTTGCATTTTTTTGTTCTTTCTCAAAGTGCTGCTTTTCCAATGCTTTACCATATACAATGCCTCGCATTTCGGTAAAATAAAATCATCTTTTTATCTATCGTAAGTTTAGTGAGACCACTAGCAGCCTGAAGACCATCGTAAACTTGTCTCTGAGATATTAGAGACATAGGTGATTGATTTTCAACAATACATTCCTTTTGTTTCAAAAAATCTTAATAAATATATATAAACTAGTTGTGGACTCTTTTTGTTTAAAACAAATTAACAAATATCAATTAAAAGGCTATAAAGAGTCGAACGCAGTTAACAATGCGAAAAAATTTTTAATAATCTTACAATTAACATGAAGATAACCAGTCGTGTTAATAATACATTCTTTGTGTTTATTGAAAATCCTCTTTCCACAAATGCTTGATCATGACTCAGAATAAGGATAAGTTTCTCCAGAAATGATCAATTCCTTGACTTTAATAACTGTATAGAGCCGTGATATAAATGAAACAGACACCGAGCTAAACAGATGTTTTAAATTTCTTTACAGCTATTTTATTTTTCCAGAAAAGTTTGCTAAATCCTTGACTTTTCCTGACTTCCTTGATACATTTTTAAATTCTCTGAGTTTTTCCTGATTTGTGGCAACCCTAACTTGTGGCAACCCTGAATAAAAATAATCGTTATAATTTCGATTTCAAGAAATCAATAATCAATCGAGTCTAAGGCACCGATGAAATAATAGCCTTTTTTTTCCAAACAATTCCTTTCGGTTGGTATCACCGTACAATACAATAGACTTCCTCAGATTTCGACCTTTACTAAATAAGTCTTCCTCAGTTGACGTTAAGATTTATTCAGAGGGCTATCAATTGAGGAAGACCTTGATCCAATTGAAAGGAACAATTTGAAGAACAAATTGAAATTATACGAATTGGCGAATAGTTATTTTTATTAAACAGAGCCAACCAAATCGATCTTGTTCCATCCGAATGAACGAATTTCTTGTGACGGGAATTTCTATGCGACAAGAGAAAATTAATCAAACGCATTTACCATAAAAAGATCGTTTACGGACGTGGAGTGTGACTTTGCGACGTTGACGGCGTAATTGAATATTAACGCTCCATTGTCCGATATAGCGAGCGCGCTTAGATACAGTGACAAATTGGAGTCACATAGCACAGGTGCGCTCAACATACTAAAAGATACAGTATTTAGCAATACACCTGTACGAAGTGGGTTACAACAATGTATGAGAACAGTCGAGAATTGTAAGATGCGCATCGCGATGTTCCTTACCGAGGATTATAATAAATGGCGTCACGTAGCGGAGCAAGAAACGGACGAATTTAACGAATGGCTGTAACGATAACCAGTACGAGCGTACCTCGCAGGGCCATTTAGTTTCTAAATCAGGCTGACTGGTATTGCGAATAAAATCCAAAACTGTTATCGGCAAGGGACACTTCGGAACGATTCTGAAATTTTAAGGGATATATGTAGGATATGTTGCGATACAAAATTAATAAAATGTATCACATAGTAAATTATATATATTAATACAAAAATATACACGGAGAAAAGACAGTTTCGCTGAAATATCTAAAAATTTAATTAGATACAAATCTGAAAATAATTTTGTTGGAATTTATCGAAATAATTGTGTACAACGTTCAATGATGATAATGCTGCAACAATTTTTGACATTCTAGCAACCGCTTTGTGTTCCATATAATTACGAAGGGTCAACAAAATTATTTTCAGATCTGATGCAGCTAAATTTTTTAATATTGCAAAAAAAAAACTCGTTTTTTTTCTACGTCTATATACTTACTTTACTTTATTCCTAAAAATTATAAAAAATAAATATACTTCCCAGGTCAAATAAATAATGAGCTATATTTGTTGTTACTATTATATATGTAAGCGTATTAATTAGATTGGGGTTTTTTATGCGGCTGAGGATGACTTTGTAAAGTCGAAACGTTCCGAGTTAATTTTATATTGATTGTAATAAATTTATTGAATAGTAACAACAAATATAGCTCATTATTTATTTGACCTGGGAAGTATATTTATTTTTTATAATTTTTAATTTAATATAAGCTGAGAATATTTATTAATTTTTATTCCTAAATTTTGAAACTCGATTACTTTAAAAAACATAAAACGGAGAGACTCAAAGATGATACACTTAATATCCTCAAACATTTTTACCTGAGAGAAGCATTGTACGTCAAGAAGAGCTCGTTAGAATTCACTGACAGGATACTCGCGACGAATATCAACGCACGGATACTTTTATTGTGTATCAAAATCATGTTGCACCAAACGTGCAAGAATCGTGAGAAATTCGTGTCTCCTCTGACACCACTCTGTCCGAAGAAGAATTATCTGTCCTGTAGCACAGATACGACTAACAATCTAATGGGCTTTTTTAATTAGAGAAGCTGCGGAGCATCTGTTGTCAATTATCATAACATGACGTATTCGAAAGTAAGCAGTTTGCTTGGACGTTGCTCCACTGGGAGGACATTAACATCGAAATTATTATATACATACATATATATATAATGTATATAAAATTCCAGTCGACGTCTAATCTGGATAATAAAAGCTTATACCCACGATTATATGAAAGACTACAGTTAATTTGCAGTCGCGCTAAAGAATATCGATTAAAAGGAATTCAATGAGCTTGAAATATATTCGGCTATCGTACAATTGTACATTTTATTTTTCACAAACTGAAAAACAGTTAACACAGTTACACAAATTTACATTGCTAACAAATGATGCGTGTAAAAGATAATCATAGCGGAAAACAATTAGTCATCGTATAACAAATCGCGTCGTATCGACTGTTAATCAAAAGCTTCGAAATGATATTTACGTATATTTCATTACGTCATATATATATATATCTCACATTTCTGCATCTCAATATTATGATGCTTTGAAAGCTTTCTATCCACTGCGTGAATTGATGATATGCTATTTCGATCCGTCATGTAATCTTGTGCAACGATATCGCGAGCTTGCGAGTAGTTACTTTATTTATGCGCAATATGTATTTATATATAGGAACCACTCTCATTCTATACAAATATATTTCTTAACATATTATATATATATATTATATATATATTATTAACATATAATATTTACATTTATATGATTCACACAAGTTCACGAGTAAAAGGCACATGTTGAAACTACGACAGCCTGATAATGATTTCACTATTAACCGCTTTTACGCCAAAAATTGCAACTACAATTTGCCTATTGACTTTAACTTTAAAATGTTAGGTAAATAAATGCTTTGGCAAGTTACATCTAATGTAACTAATGTATTTAGTTTAATGTAAACGTGTAATATGATGTGTGTGCGCGCGCGCGCGCGCGTGCGCGATGTTACATAATTTAATATCGATTAGTATATTATGCCGATATCTTCCCGATTATCCTCGTGATACACGTAATTTACATGAAAAAAATATTCAATCTGGAACATAAATTCAACGCCAAATTTTATATTCAAATTTCCCGATAATCATTACGTTTACATTTCTCTTCTATCAAAAATATATTCCTTTCCTCTGATCTTCCGCAATGTAATCGTCGATATTATAAACCTCGATTCGCCGTACATTTCCTTACAAATCCATCATCCTATTTACATTATTATTACACTCTTATGCGCTTTAATGTCAATATCTATCTAAATTCACACGCAAAACCGTCTTACCGAAAAAATATTTTTGCTCCTTAAAGTGATATATTTAATCTCTCAAGTAATAATAAATGAAAGATTAAAAAAGCAAACCAATTTCGCGAATAATTGGTCTCCTTGCGATACATATGTTTGTTTTTATAACTCAGAGAGTGTTATGTTATATATGTTCATATATTTATAGATGTGTGGACATTCATGAAGGTATGTAATGCGTTAAATGATATGAGCAATTCGAAGAATTTCGAAGATATTTCCATTCATACATTCAACATGCATGATATTAGTTGAGCTTCTTCAAAAGCTTCTCTGCAAAACAATTGTGTGAGTTGAAAAACAATCTTAGACTATAGAAGTATATTTGCTTAAAATGCATAATTTCCGAGGTGAGAGAGAGAGAGAGTGTTTCATCATTAAACCAAATGTCCAAGGAAAGTTATGCATAAAATATTAATCATTTATATATCTACGTGTACTATGCAAACTATATATAAATTATAAATCGTCATAGTGTTGTAATCTAGATAGCTTATTATAAATCTAGATAGCTTATTATCTATTTACAGATAATTTATTTGTATCTGAAATAAGCATTTAGTTTTTATAATTATTTCCTTGTACATTGTAATTACCATGATTCATGTTATTATTATTTTTTGTATTGTAATATATTTATCTAAAATATTCACTCGCGCGCACCTGCAGAATAATAAAACAAACACTGACGGAAAACAATTCCTTAGTTTTTCTTTCATCGAGTTTACCATACACAGTTCATGGTCTATGGCTCTCTATGCAAAGGAAAGATCATGTAAATATTCTCGTAGAGATATAATATATGTATGTATACATATATAAACCATATAGAGACTTAATTAATTTTTTAGCTGGTAATTTATATACCTGGTTAATAATTGTGTACTAAAATATTGATAAATTAATGAACTAAGTGTGTACGCGTAATTATATTACTTTCAAGCTGAGTTAACATTACATGTGTTCTTCTGATACTTGGTGTACTTACATATTTCAAGAAAGTGTAATTAGACCGTATTTAGTATTTAAAAGAAAATGCGAGTAAACGGAATATAAAATCTGTCTCTATTCGTCGACACGTTAAGTAATCTTCATTTCTAAACATATACCGAAATTGTTTTTAAGCAATTAGTTTAGAACCATATTATGCGTCTCTCACTTTGACCAATTTAACACAGCCCTTATTTTATTATACGCTACCACAAGAGGATTGTGATATTCAGTTTAGAAAGCACAGTTTAGAATGCAATGGTACCATTACACAGTATATCGATTTCTATATGTAATTCAATATTTGTTCAATGGATTGATTAGGACATTACGTAACAGAAATATCGACACTTCTGCCCACTGTAAAGTTATTGGAAAAATAATAATTGTATAACAATTCGTTCTTACACACATGTCCGAAAATATGATAATATAATTTTTATGATAGCTTATGTCGCCCTTATCATTCGACATATTATCAACAATTCAACAGATCATTAAGAGTACAATCGTTCCACAATATTTTCCTCGAGTGAAATAAGAATCTATATAAATAGCTCTGTTTGCTTTATTTTTTTAAGATATTAATGATAAATGGATTATACCTACGGTATGTATGATTGAAATTAGATATGGCAATAGAGCATTCTTATTAATCTATATGACACAGACCACCTCTAATGCAAAACGCTTGTTACTTCGACTTAATTATTATACAGAATAAGTACAAATATTAGAGAAACAGAGTAAATCTGATATTCTATAAAAGATTTTAAACGTGTAGAACCGCATAAGATAAAGCACGGGCATTATGTGTAGCTGTTTGCGATACACATTCAAATTCAAAACTAGTCTTTTGTTCTCGATCACAGCCACTGAACAGCAACAGAAACACTTGCAGTATTTTTACATGTTTTTGCATATTTTTCTATAACCATATTGTTTTGCGGGCGTCTGGTGATGAGTAAATTTGCTTGACTTTTTTTTTTCTTTAGTGCAAAAGCGGAGTTGATAACAGCCGCATTATCACATATTAGACAAGTTGTTAGTAGAGAAATAGTGCGGAACCATATTAAACTGCAATGTAAAATAGTGCCTACACAACAAAGTTCCTTTACATGGGAGACATTGTTCTGATATTTCATCGGATAATCCTATCCCAGTTTTATCTCTGAGAAACAGTATATATTTTATATATATAGTATGTGTATATATATATATATATATATATATTAACAAGAATAAACAGTACTGATAGCAGTGCCACTTAAATAAATTAAAATGTATTATTAAAATTAAAATTTATTAATAAGCAATTTCACCATTCTTCTTAGGACTAGTTTAACATTAGTTTAAAAAAAGAAAAAAAACGGATATGTGACAGAAATGTCCGTGCGCTAAGTGTTAATCATTCACCTAAAGTTATGCGATCGGACATAAGATTATGCAGCGCCGTATGTGTAAAAAGTGATACCGTTGACTTTTTCATTAAAAAGCAAGAGTTAATGAGCTCATTCATGGCAGTTTTTTCTACAATATTCCCTTATGTCCTTCTGTGTCCAATAATTGCGCTGATGCTATTCTACAGCTCTATACTATTTATTTGCCCTATTATAGACTGATGCAATTAAAATTTTATCTCATCGATATATATTTCGTATTTATCGGCAATTGCAATCTATATTTTTTTTCTCTAAAATCTATATCAGTATCTCTTAATCGCGCGTAATAACGTATTCGTCTTCATTTCACGGATGCTTTATCCGTGTTAAAATATTTTGTGAAACTTGTATCAGAAAGTAAAGTTGCGCTTTACATTTCATACTTTCTAATATCACGGTGGTAAGAAATTAACCTATAGTTAAAATAAGTTTCTATGTATGTACAATATGAGTGCGCGTGCTCGTAGCATTATGCACGATTAGACAGATTAATCAGCGTGACTCATTTTAACGTTATTATCCATACTTCAATATATTCGTTGTACTGAATCAGATTAATTTCTTACCTAAAGGCTTAAATTCTAGTTGACGAGTACAGATTACCAAACGTTACAAAGAACACAGATAAAAAAAACCGATGAGATTATTTTTGCAATTAATAAATGAAGCTGTCGAGTAGTTTTCAGCGCAAAAGATTTAAGAATATAGAAAATGATCGCATCTACTTCAAACGTGTATAAAGAATAGAAAATTTCAGAGAAAATAATCATTTGGTTTGTCCGTAATAAATTTTTTTAGTTTAAATTAATTGTGAAAAATTAGCAACTGCCTTTTTCTTTTATGATCAAAATGTGATCTATTCTCTGTTACGTGGAATTATTGTACTGTGCATTCCTACCCAGAATATTTACAAAAATATGCATTACATAAGTACCAGGAAAGTATCTATATCATCATAGCGGCACTTTATCTTCTCTGCATGTCAGTTGCACATTGCACATTGCTGATTATTTGCATTGTACATATTATTAATTGCACGACTACCCATTGCTTAATCAGGCCTATAGATTGGAATCTTTGGAATAAATTCAATCAAAAGAACCTGTAATGTCGAGAAAACCGAAATCAATGTCATTGAAATTACATCTGTCAAAATTTTACCAAATCTAATAATTGTATAGTGCCTTACATATTCCATCATGGAGGAGCTGTCGCATCTCTGTTTTGCCAACCTCCAATGTAAACCGAGTTTATGGTAGAGCCTACTATTCTCCCATTCCAACAATTTGTTTAACGAATGCTGAGTCTAGAAAGATATTCTTATTTTAATGCTTTGTATATATAATATAATATATTAAAATATAATTAAACCCACTAAATTATACAAGTGTTCTTTGTAGAAATACATAATCTCTGCTCTCTAAAAGAAATACACTCTTAGAGTGTATCGTACTCTTGAAGATTGAAAATTAAACTACTCTTTTCCAAGATTGGCTCAATTTTTACTTTTCAGAGTGAGATTCCATTTTAAACAATTCAGAGAGTTATAAATTAGATTGCCTTACAATCAATACGCACCCTCTTGCTCAAGCAAATGACAGGCCACAGTGAACATCCTAGAGTACAGCAACAGCATACACAACCACAGAATAACCACTTAACGTTAACAGGTAAAGTCTTCTTTAATACACTGTTCACTCTCATAACAGTCGCCTTGAACTCTTCTGGAGCCACGCGGGACATGAGGCCGTTGGGAAATTCCGATTCGAAACGGTTACTGAGACCAAATCTGTGAAAAGAAAAATCACACAAATTGATAACATTTTTACTTTTTTTTTTCCTTAGCGACCTGGACGAAACTTATCCTTAAAATTCTTTCGAACAAAGTGGGAATATAAATGTTGCTGGCTCGACTCCAAGGTAAACAATAATTTAATTGTACAAGTTTTTCACAGATTGCCAAATATGCATTTCTTCTAATCATAAAGGGAAAAAAAAAAAAAAAAAAAACAACATGACATCGTTCGCGACATCGAAACAACAACGAAAGAGACATAGACGTATTGCCCAGCAGAGAACATCGAAACTAAGGAGAAGGAGATCAGATGGCTTTGTTTGCTAGCTTCTTTGTGGAATCGCGAACCTGTCCCCCCCCCCTCCCCCGCGCCCTTCCAGACAACAAAGAACTCGCTGGACGCGCGGCTCGGAGAGTGGGCGTTTCGCGAAGAAAAAAGAAAAAAAAAACTTACACCGTCATGTTGCCAGCCCCGCGAATCACGATCGGGTCCGGCACCATCGCGATGTAGTGCTCCTCCAGATGCTGCTCGTGTTCCTCCTCCTCCTCGTAGATCGCGTCGAAGTCCGCCATCGTGCTCCCGCTCGGGCTCGCCGCCTCCTGCGGACGCGAGTCGCTCGTATACACCGCGTACAGGGACGACGGTAACAACACACGCGCGTCTCTTACCCCTCGAGATCGGCCGGCCAGGTCGCCGTGGTTGCTGGTAGTCAACGACGACGACGCCGCGCGGCGCTCTCGCGAGCGCGTTTCCTCTCGCTCACATCCCCGCCGGGACGGTGGGTTTCCGGCACGTCGTCGTCGCCGTCACGTTCGCTCCGTCGCAATTATCGCGAACGGCGAGGGGCATCTCTGTAGCGAGACCAGGCTTGGGCCAACTGCTACACGCAGCACGCACTCTTGATGACGACGACGATGATAGTCTCGATATCGTTCACCGCCAGCGCTCGCGTATTATGTATATGGATGTAATATCACCACTCGTTTGTCGTTCCAGCTCCACCGATCGTCGATGCACAGTGCACACTGCGGGGATACGATATGCGTTATACGATCCGCTCGCTCATACAACAGCTCTGGTCAATCTCTCCTCGTTCCGAGCTCCAATCTCCCAACCTGCTCCGACGATCTCAGCCAGGTCTGCCAACGGACGCGCAAACACGAAGGGGTGACAGTGTGACCAGCTACCGCGGGGATGCGTTTTCTCGCGTTAAATATCAAGTTCACATGAATGTGGGTACCTTTAGAACCTCCAGATGAGTTACTAAATTTTTATAGAGAGATATATACACAATTATTTTATATAGACTTATAATAAGTAAAAAAATGTGGTAATTATACAGAATACGGGCCTAACCTCCGATTTTGATCTAATTAGGCTTATTCGACGCGTTTTTCACTCAAAATGAAAGAATCCGGAAGAAATTTTTGTGGCGCTCGACCTCGTGAACCGAGATATTAAGCGTTAAAGTTCGAGATTTTAGGGGTTATCCACGCATATTACTTCTACGTTAAAAGTGTATGCGTGGATGCAGTGGGTTCTGTCCCCCCCCCCTGCGGGGGGAGGCTCCACTATTGTTTTAAATTGAATTGTTTTTTAAAGCATTGAATTTGTATTTTTAAAGCAGTGTTTTTGTGTTTCTAAAGCAGTGACAGATATCTTAACCTCTAAAATCTCGAACTTTAACGCTTAATATCTCGGTTCACGAGGTCGAGCGCCACAAATTTCTTCCGGATTCTTTCATTTTGAGTGAAAACGCGTCGAATAAGCCTAATTAGATCAAAATCGGAGGTGAGGCCCGTATTCTGTATAATTACCAAAAATGTAATTAAAATGTAATAAAGAAATTACAAATATAAAAAACGTGTTCCTGCTAGCAACACTACTGTGAAGGCTGTGAAAGTCATTGGCACTTGGCAGGCCCGAATTAAGGGGGGGGGGGGCTAGGGAGGGCTGTATAGCCCCAGGCCCCACAGAAATAGGGGCCCCCGTTACATTAAGGACAAAATTTTAATTTTTTGATTAAAAGAATCTAGTTTTTAAAAGAAAAAAAAATATGTACAGAACAGTGATGTTGGACGAACGACTAACATCTTTAACTCGCTTAGCAATCGAATCTGTGTGTGAAACACTAAGATCGATCGATTTTAATAATTTAGTTATTAGTACAAGATTTTGTAAAACTAAAATTGAGAAAAAAAATTTTAACTAAAGAATTAATTAATTTATTTATTTGTCTCTCTCTAATCTTTATATGATTCAATTTTAATGTTTATTGTTTTGGATTAAAGAATAACCTAATTATACTGCTTTACGTTAGACGTGATCATCTTTTTTAAAAAGATTGAAAAGAAGAGCCTCCTAAAGTTAAATAGCCCGGGGCCCCTCAACTCTTTAATTCGGACCTGGTCATTGGCGAATTCAGAAATTTGTCAAGGGGTGGGGCAACTGGAGCGTTGCAGGTAAAATTTTGTTTTTCTTAGGACTTATTATTATTAATGTAATTATCTATTTTTGTTACAATTTACATTAATAATATGCAACGCATATATTAAATATACAGTTTTTTTTTAAAATAAAATAATATGGACGTAGAATCAACAAAGAATTCTTAACTTTATAGAAAATAAACAATGAATTTTATAAAGAGACGGGGGGAGACATACTGATACACACGCACGCACGCACATTCTTTTTCGCAGCGAAATATACACAGTTGAGATATAACGTCTGCCATAAAAGTCCATTTGGAGAGATTTGTTCAATTTGCAATTTTGATCAACACTGCTCCAATTTGATTTAAATAATGTAAACGGAGAGTTTTAAGTAAAAACATTCTTCATATTTATGGATTCTTTTATTGAAAAACAATTTTATTCATAATATTTGCACTTCTTTTTTGGCGAAGGGGTCAAAACTATATGTATAACAAAATTTTGATAGTATGGCAGTAACTTTTCAATGTATATTTTTCAGTAGAAATAGACGGTACATATTAATGTCAATTTTATTTTACGTATATGTATTTCTAACTCGTTTCTAAGAGCTATATCTTTCATCGATCTCCAATTTTTGGTGTCTTTCGTCTTTTTTCTTTGCAAAGTTATTCGGCTTCTTTTGAAAAACCACTTTCTCTATTAGATACGAAACATATACTTTCTCTTTTTTATCCTCTCCTACTATACTATTTCTTTCTTTCTGTTATTTCAGTTTCTGTAAAGGCTTTTCAGAAATAATATCATAACCGATGAAATTATAAGTTTAATAGCTTTAATGAAAGGATAAGAAGTCTGTGTGAGACACAATTGAAATATATCTATTGTAAAATTACCACGGGATAACTACAGAACGTCGAGGTCAACCGTGATTGGTTCATTCTGGTCACAGATAAATGCGATTGGATAATTCCATTGGAATTAACCGTCGGTTAGCTTAACCTAGAGACCCTCTAAGGGCCAATTTCACCAACGTCGGTTAAGCTAACCGACGGTTAATTCCAATGGAATTATCTAATCGCATTTGTCTTTGACCAGAATGAACCAATCACGATTGACACTTTAACCGTCGGTTAGCTTAACCGACGTTGGTGAAATTGGCCCTAACAGAGGCTGCTTTCGATCAAGGCTTTTAGGCGACACACATCGACACAGTGTCGAACGCGGTGCTTTCCAACAACGACACGCCTCGGCACGATTCGACACAGCAGCTTAGACTGCTTTCCATCAAGGCTTTTAGACGACACACATCGACACAGTGTCGAACGCGGTGCTTTCCAACAACGACACGCCACGACACGATTCGACACAGCAGAAAAGCATAGTCGGACACTCTTGGTTATGGTTGCTAATTTTCGGTTGGCGCTTTAGAATATTTACATTTTAAATATATGTACGATATAAGAAGTACGTTCATAAGTCATCTGGATTATTTTAATGTAAAAAATAATATCTACGCATAAGATTATTATCCAACAAGAGACACAGAAGTGACACGGTGTGACACGGCAATCGTTGCATCTTCGTCGTTCGCTAATGTTAAATAAAGATGAGGTGATTGCTGTGTCGTAGATGGAAAGCAACCAGAGACTGGCCATCAGGGGGCCACTTTTGATTGGTCCGCCATTTCCTAGCGATTCCCGCTCGTATTGAAATTTCAATTACTGCATTTACTTGGAATGTAAATAGTATGTAATGATAAATATTATAGAAATATTAAAACCGTGCTTTTTACATCAATATAAATAATATACGTTAAAAAAAAAAAAACATGTCAAGTTTTATCGTCAGTTATATACATCTTTATCTTTAAATAACTTTGTTATAATAGCTGTTTTTTGACATTTATGATTTAATTTTTGACTTTGTTATTAAATTTTAAACATTGACTCTTATATTGTCTTCGTTCTTTTTGTTTATACGTTAAATAATTTCTATATTTAATATTCTCTCTTTCTTAATTCTATTAAATCTTTTTCAAATAAAATTAAAGTAAGGTTAGGAAATCAGTGACAAAAGTACAAACACTTAACATTTGTAAAATTTATTTAAAAAAGGTGTGTACCAACGATTTACTGTCATATCTTCTATTAATATTAGTATTTTTCTTACTTAATGTTCTTAATTTGAATACGACAAACTTTCTAATAATTTTAGGAAACAATTGATAATTTAAAACATGTTTAGCCGTAACCTGACTAAAGACAGATATTAAATAATTTTTCCAGAATTGTGCAGTGCAACCACTCATTTTTATTGTTATTATTTTGTACTGAGCAAAAACCACGAACATAACTTGAATCAACTCAAATCAACTTGAATAAACGATCGCATACGAACGCACATATTCGTGTGAGTGAAAGAGTGAAATGGCCTATATTTCTCTCTCACTTGTAGGATTTCGCTAGGAAATGCCGGACTCGCCTGATGGCCAGTCTCTGTTAGAGGGTCTCTAGCTTAACCGACGTTGGTGAATTGGCCTTAAGCATCGGAAGCATAGGAAGCATTCTAAGCATATAGCGTTTTCTCTTGGCTGCACCAGTGCAACATTCAGACAGTAGGTCTGTTTTTTTTATTGCTAAACTTTTGCACTAGTTCATCTTTCTTCCTTTTTTCCTCCAGGAGAAGGGAAAAGGAAAAAAGATGAACTGGTACAATCAGCTTGCACTGGTGCAGCTAAGAGAAAACGCTATTAGTTTTTAACAGTCTGCCAACATAATACAACAACAGAAATACAACAAAAAAATCATTCATTATTTGCTATCACATCGTGAGAGTGAATACGCAGTAATAATATAGCACGATTTGACATATAATATCAAATAATGGCAGCAAAAACGTAGCAAAAATCGATCACAGCCTGTCATCGTGACTGTAAAAACACGGCAGATATAGAATGTGATCTGCCTTACCAACAATTGATGACATAAATGTAGCAGAAAAAGAAATAAGAGCACAACGAGTTGCAATTATAATATGTGTAAAATTATTGTGGTAAATATTACTAAAGCAAAACATTACATTACGTCGAAAGATTAATGCGACAAGCTATAAAGGTAACGCTTAAATTATTATTTTTATTAAAGAATTAATACATGTACAAGTTAATATTCCAATGAAAATTACAAATTTTATCCAGTTATCTATTACACGTCAAATATAATGTGAAACAAGAAAATTGTATTATTTTTTTCGTTACAAATGAATAATATCTGATAACATATTATAGATATACAAAGTTATCAAATTACCTCATATACAAACATCATTTGACGTTATCTTCAAAGTTTATTGTCGTAATACATTACAAAATAAATTCGAAATGCAAAGAAATAATTCCCAAATATAGTCCAAACTGTTAATTAATAAATATAAAACCTAAGATCAGTACACATACATATTTATACTTTATTCACAATCGTCTTATTCAATTTCTAGGATTATATACTTTTCTATTCCAATATTCAAATATTTAATACGATTAAATAAATTATTGTACGCTTCGTCTTCACGCACAGTCACTGAAAACATTCGTTTCACGTATATTTCATGTAAGAGTAAATACTTTGAAAACCATACTAAAAAAGTCGTTCTACAAGGATATAATACATAAAAAATTTTTAATTCTGCTACATAGTTTGAAAAACCATACGTCAATAAGTTGCATTTCTTTTAATTATAGATACAATTCTATTTTCTGAAATTCTATTCACATGTACAGTTACACGATGCATATGGTAATTGTTTGTAATACCACATTGTTTTTTAGAATCACATGATTTCAAGGATAGCGCAAGGATTTTGAGCAACTCATAAAGTTTGATTTATGAACATTAATTAATTGATGTAGTCATGTTACTTTTTTGGTAAATATCTAATAGATATCAAAGAAAAGCACAAATAATGCTTACAGTGGTATACGCACGAGAATTGCACTTATATTTAAGATCGTACAGTCGCGATAATGTCATTTATTCTTAGTTAAAAGTTTAAAAATCGTAAGGCAATTTTTCATAATCACAGTTTCACGTTTCATCATATTGCAATATCGGTTCTAATTAAAATATCGAAGTTAGCTCGAAACCTACAAAGACAATCATGATATTTTCATGAACTTTGTATACATCACGAACATAAAAGTAAAGCACCTAATTGCTTACGTCTCAACACTGAAATAAAATATCATTGTAACTGCAAAAGCGAATGAACGTTATGTAGTACAACGTGTAGCTTTAATTTCAGGAAAATCGCATATTGTCTTTAATTCATGTAAGTGGACTACATTAAATTAGGCGTAGACATAAGTGAAAGTATTAATTACATTTAAATAATTGACACTTAAACGTAATTAAATGTTCAAATATAGAGTATTATAAATTATTATAAATTATCATATAATTTATATTTTTCAACATTGTGAGACTATTCTACGGATTTTATACGCCCATTTATGTAATATCCATCGTATTTTTTTTAACATCGCTAAAATATAACAACGTGTGCAATTTGTATATACAATAAAATGACAAAAGAGGTTTTAACAGTCATTGTTGCTAAAATGACTTTTGACGTCCGTATATTATTATAGCATATTCAAATAAAAACACTTTTAATGGTGATATATTATTATCGGGCTTAGACATACAATCATCCATTAATATTGCAAGAATATATTTAATAGATATTGTAAAATCTAATTGACACATGACAAGTTATAAATAGAGAAGTTCTACATGAGAAGTTGTACATAGTAAACAAATCGCTACAACGTATGTAATGACATCAATTTCTCATGTACATACATTAGATTTTATATAAGGACTAAAGCCCATGGCACATATAAAAACGTAAGGCCGTAAATGTAATCAGTAAGCGTTTTGGCCAATCACAGTAGAGACCGTAAGGCCGGTAGCGAATCCAATGTTACGATTTCCTTACTGATACGTCTTAAAGATCTATGTAATACATAGGACATACAAATATTTCAGTTTGCTGCATATTTTACAGGTTTTAGAATTACAAAATTGTGTTTAAAAAAAAATTAAAAAATAAATTAAATAATAGTAAAATGAGAAGGGCTACGAACCCAAAAGCGAAACAGTTTAAAAGACGATGACAATAAGTGTCGGAACGTTGCTTGTTTTTATCTTGTTTTATCCATGTTATTGTTCTAATATACCTATATGGTATTTATACATTTAATTACATTGTCATCGTCGATCTTATTGGAAATAAACTGTTTCATTTTTGGCTCGTAACCCTTCTTATTTTACTTTAATTTAATTTATTATTTGAGCGATTCTACATTGTTTTTTTTTTTTAAATAAAACTATATATTTGTCAGTATTACATATAAAAAAAAAAAAATGCAAAAGTACATTTTTTAATTGATTTTAAAAAAGTAACGAAAAGTTATTTTTCAAGTAACGGTAACGAGTTACTTTTAAAAAGCGATAACTGTAACTGTAACTAGTTACATTTTTTACTCGGTAACAAGTAACTGTAACTAGTTACTTTTAAAAAGTAACTTCCCATTCCCTGTGTATATCTATTACGTTATCTGACATCGTCGAAATCACTTGCTCGGTAATACTACGATTGCAAACTTGCTCACATTTCTGAATGTAACAATTTCATAACTATGATAAGGATTTCAACTATCTGCGTTCTTCTTTATTATTTATAAATTTTCAACACTTTATCTAATAAAACTGCAGTGTCTGTTTCTTATTCATAAACTTCTTATTCATGAACTTTTAACATATTACCACTCTGACTATTTTAATTTATGTACTCGAAAAAGTAAAGGATATGAAAACTGCGTTACCGAAAAATTTTATAGGTTTCAAATAGTTTATTCATAATTATAATTTACTGTAACATTGATAATGACCCGGGAGGCATCAAACCGTTTTTTGTAATTTCTTTATTATTTTCAATTAAAAGCTTCTTTGTTACGCTCTTAGCCCTCTATTTCTAGACTGAAATAATGTTAAAGGACATACCTTAATTGCAAAGATGTTGTCTTTTATATTCGTGCTTCGAGTCCTCATGATAACCAAGTACCATTTAGTATGGGAATTCTTTTCATATTCATTAAATGCGTAATAACGTTAATTATTTTAGTGAAACACAAATTTGTGCTGCTTTAGAGATCGAATATGTCTATAAAGTTACCGTTGCAATATATCATTCGTTACAAAATAATTTAAATATATAGAAGGAATTACCAAATAATTCTTGATATTCAAGAATGTACCCACCTAAACATATCTCCACAAAACTCACAATGATAAGGTTTTTCGCCTGTATGAGTTCTCTCATGAATATGCAAATGCGCTTTGTTTATAAACCCTTTATTACACATTCCGCATTTGTATGATACACATCCAATAAATATGTTCTTATTAGATTTGTAAATTTCATCATTCTTATGCTTTGTCTTCACGTGATGTATTAGATATTCTTTCCGACTGCGAAACGACCGTTGAAATATTTATTACTTTTACCAGTTAATTTAATCATTGATAATGAATTATCAAATCATTTCCCTATAACACTTGCACTTAAATACTCACGTATATTTATTTTCACAAAATTCGCATTGATAAGGTTTTTCGCCTGTATGAGTTCTTTCATGCCTATTCAATTGCGCCTTGCCCTTAAATTCTTTATTACACGTTCCGCATTTGTATGATACACCTCCAATGTATAGATTCTTATTAGACTTGAAACGTTCATCACTGTTATGCATTGCGACCACATGCTGACTTAAGTTATTTTTTGTCCTACAAAACGTCCGTTACAATTTTTATTACGTTTACCAATTATTTAATCAATGATATTGAATCACCAAAGCATTTTTCTAACTCTTCTTGTTCACTTAAATACTCACCCATATTTATATTTACAGAACTCGCATTGATAAGGTTTTTCGCCTGTATGAGTTCTTTCATGGCTACGTAAATTCGTTTTGTTCTTAAACTCCTTATTACACGTTCCGCATTTGTGTAATACACCTCCTGCATATAGGTCCTTATTAGACTTGAAACGTTCATCATCCTTATGTTTTGATATCATGTGTGTACGTAGATGTACCTTCTGCCTGCAAATGGATCATTGTAATATTTATTATTTTTTTCCTATTAATTTAATCATTGATATTGAATAACCAAAGCGTTTTCCTAACTCTTGTTGTTCACTTAAATACTCACCTACATTTATATTTACAAAATTCGCATACATAAGGTTTTTCGCCTGTATGAGTTCTTTCGTGGTTACGTAAATGCGTTTTGTTCTTAAACTCTTTATTACACGTTCCGCATTTGTATAATACACCTCCTGCATATAGGTCCTTATTAGACTTGAAACGTTCATCATCGTTATGTATTGATATCATGTGATTACTTAGCTGTATCTTCAGCCTGCAAATGGATCATAGTATTATTTACTATTTTTTATCAGTTAATTTAATCATTGATATTGAATTACCGAAATATTTTCCTAGCTCCTGTTGTTTACTTAAATACTCACCCACATTTATATTTACAAAACTCGCATTGATAAGGCTTTTCGTTTTTATGAGTTCTCTCGTGTCTACGCAAACTCCAATTAGTCTTAAACCCTTTACCACACGTTTTACATATGTGTAGTCTAATTTCATTTATGTTTCTATTCTCTTTATTTGATATTGTCGGGGTGTTAGGACGATCATCTTAAAATTAAAGAAAGATCTTGTTGTGAAAAAAATGAGTACTGTAACATAATTCCCATAAATTTTAAAATACTCTACTCAAATTAAAGCATCACTTGCAAGAACAAGCAAACTTCGAAAAAGAATGATTTCGTAAAAGATCATCCGACCGAAATGTAAAAGAAATCATTTTACATAATGTAATCTCTACCCTTCACACCGTCATTTCAAAAAATTTCATGTTGATATTTTATAAAATTGGAGTATCATAACTGACGATTCATCAAATGTTAAAGCTTTATACGACATTTGTGAAGTTGCACGGTGCGAAATGACAATTGTGCACAAATGGTTTTTATGGCTTCCGAAAGATAGAATCGTTTTTTGTATGTAATTTTCTTTTTCGTCGACCTCTGTAAGATTTTTTTCAAAGATTTATTAAACGTTGCAGCAAAATGTTTATTTTTAGATCAACGTATAGTAATTCAGATAATGAAAATAGTACAGAGCACGATAGTAAGGAAATTGAGATACCAAGATTTACCCTTTCACTTGCTTTTAAACCGTATTAGTGCACATTTTTAATTCGCGACGTGGAATTTTCGCAAATATCGTTAAAAATATTGAAATCTGTTGCACCTTCTTTTTTATTTGTATAATTTATAAAATGTCTTTGTTTGAAATAGATATCTGAAAAAAACAGATTCATTATGCCTGTTCTTTTTCCCTACACTGTCTGAACTGGTACATACAGTGCACTCTGTGCAATAAGTTCAGTAAAAAGAACAGCCCTATAGCTTTAAAGTGTTGTTGTACAAATCTCGGTACGATGATTATTGACAAAATTATTCTATATCAAAATTTTTGTTTGTTTGTATGAAGCATTATTTAATGTATTAAATTTTTCATTGTCTCTGAAGAAGGATCAAAAGTGAACCAAAACATGTAAGTATAATTTTTGTAATAAATAAGTTTTGCTTGATAAAATCAGCATTTGCGTAAAGTTATCTGCGGTAAACTCCTAGTACCCTTTTTCTTTCCAAGTTAATTTTTAATGCATTAATTTTGTTGATAAAATTTTAATGTTCAATATGGCATGAACATAATTTAGATTTTTAGGGACTATATAATTCTTACCGGGCTGTTTGTGTTCATCTTCTTTTATGTCGTTATTCGTTTCATCATTTTGATTAATATTTTTAGATTCAACTCTCTTATCCATCAGAAATATTTTTCAACTCGCTTTACTATGACGTTCTTTATATTACTTTCGTACTTTACACGTTCTAAATATATTATATTTAGACACTTTTACAATTTCAGACTTTTCCTAAATTTTAAAAAACCCTAAAAAGTAGTAATAATTTTAAGTACAATAAAATTATAATAAACTGATAGCTATCACGAAAAGTAATAAGCAAGTAACAGAAACCTGTGTCAAATAAATTTAGTTATATATACTTAATGTTAGTTATAATACAAATATTTAAAACTATAAGGTCACCTCTCTGACGTTGGATAATTGTTACATTTATTTAATAACTTTTATGATTTAATAACTTTTATTCAAAAATTAAGTTATAGATGTATAGATTAATACCAAATGATACGTTTAAATTTGAAATTGTTTGCTGACAAATAAGCATGTCAGTGCTTGGGAACGACTGATCCAAGGTCTTCGTATGGAGACCTATTATAAGTTTTCATATACATACAGATATATTTATGTACGTATAACTATAAGCGATTCTTTCGAGAACCGATATGACATTTTGCATTATAGTTTCAGGATTCGTATAAACTGCGGAGAAATGTTCTTTAGGAAAGTAAAACAACCCGTACCTTCTGTTTCTGCTTAAAGAAAACGGTGTAACCTTGGTGTTAATTGAAATAATAAAATATGGAGAAATTGATATTATACCACACAAGCTACACGATTTACTTTTGCAAATAACAAAAAATATAGGCAGATGTATTTCACTAAAAAACACATTACCGTAGTATAAGCAGTATTCATAGGAGTAAGTGAGAGTTCTTACAGCAGAATGTAATGCCAATTTTCGTAAGAATCGCCAATAAACAAACACGCACACACACGCACCCGCACACATCTTACCAATTAAGTATTGATATTGCAAGGTCAAGACGGATTTTTATTTAAATTTGTGGGTATGATAGTAATATCTGTTGCTTGATAAAATTACATAGAAAAAAGTACTAGACAATATAAGGATGGTAACCGATAAAATATCCGCCGTTTAGTACGTATTTAACTCAACGAAATAGTTTCGGTGATTATCAGTTATGCGCTATGGACATATAGCTATCTGCTATACCGTCTGTTTGTCAGTCGATTAGCAATGGTTGTTTTCATCAATAGTTACGTGCGAGGTTGACAATATTAGTGTACTTTTACATGCTACAATCAGATTTTTAGAATTAAATATACACAACGATAGTATTTAGCTCTCTCTCGACGAATGAGTCTGCTGAACGCAGTTTGTAACTTACATCCGTACTGTGTCGAAAAAGAAATATCAATATCGCACTATTGTTATCAAGATTTGTTAATATTGATCATTTTGCAGCTTTTACGTTCTACAGAAAAAACAGCTTTGCAACTGATGTATCCTTTAACATCATTTGTTTAAATACTGATCCAAAGAAAAAAGAGAACATGTGCTAGTCATATATGGCCTGTTACAACGGTTGTAATTCGAATTATTCAACTGAACGCAGTCAATGTTAAATCATTTCTTTTACATCGTTTTCGAAATTATTTGAGAGAAGTATTTGTTCCAAATTAATATAATATGTGTAATTATATAACGAGTTGCAATCGTAATGATATGTGTAAAATTAATGTGTTAAATAAGACTAAAGCAAAACATTAGGTTACGTCGAAAAATTAATGCGACAAACTGTAAAGGTAACGGTTAAATTATTATTTTTATTAAAGAATTATTACATGTACAAGTTAATATTCCAATGAAAATTACAAATTTTATCCAGTTATCTATTACACGTCAAATATAATGTGACACAAGAAAATTGTATAATTTTTTTCGTTACAAATGAATAATATCCGATAATAGGTATACAAAGTTATCAAATCACCTCAAATACAAACATTATTTGACATTATCTTCAAAGTTTATTGTCGTAATACATTATAAAATAAATTCGAAATGCAAAGAAATATTTCACAAATATAGTCCAAACTGTTAATTAATAAATATAAAACCTAAGATCAGTACTCATACATACTTATACTTTATTAACAATCGTCTTATTCCATTTCTAGGATTATATACTTTTCTATTCCAATATTCAAATATTTAATACGATTAAACAAATTTATTGTACGCTTCGTCTTCACGCTCAGTCACTGGAAACATTCGTTTCACGTATATTTCATGTAAGAGTAAAAACTTTGACAACCATTCTAAAAAAGTTGCTCTACAAGGATATCATACATAAAAAATTTTTAATTCATAATTTGAAAATCCATACGTCAATAAGTTGCATTTCTTTTAATTATAGATACAATTTCTATTTTCTGAAATTCTATTCACATGTAGAGTTACACGATGCATGGTAATTGTTTGTAACACCACATTATTTTTTATAATCACATGATTTCAAGAATAGCGCAAAGATTTTGAGCAACACATAAAGTTTGATTTATGAACATTAATTAATTGATATAGTCATGTAATACCGTCATGTTACTTTATTGGTAAGTATCTATCAGATATCAAAGAAAAGCACAAATAACGCTTACAGTGGTATACGCGCGGGAATTGCACCTTTATTTAACATCGTACAGTCGCGATAATATCATTCATTATTTAATCCCTTCCAAGATTCAGCTACGGTATCCTCGCATTCAATTTTCGCCATTGATGGAAAACTGTTGTGTGCACATTTATGGTAAATACCGGAAGCACACTCGGAAGAAAAGGACACGGATATACTCAGCCTAACGTAACTCATTGATATGCAACGATTTATGAAATGGACTACCAAACGTTTATGGAAATTAAATACATCCAACGACTTCATTTATTCTTAGTCAAAAGTTTAAAAATCGTAAGGCAATTTTTCATAATCACAGTTTCACCTTTCATCATTGCAATATCGTTTCTAATTAAAATATCGAAGTTAGCTTGAGACCTACAAAGAAAATCACGATATTTTCATGAACTTTGTATACATCACGAACATAAAAGTAAAGCACCTAATTGCTCACGTCTCAACACTGAAATAAAATATCACTGTAACTGCAAAAGCGAATGAACAATTATGTAGTACAACGTGTAGCTTTAATTTCAGGAAAGTCGCATATTGTCTTTAATTCATGTAAGTGGACTACATTAAATTAGGCGTAGTCATAAGTGAAAGTATTATTTACATATAAATAATGACACTTAAACGTAATTAAATGTTGAAGTATAGATTATTATAAATTATTATAAATTATCATAATTTATATTTTTCAACATTGTAGGATTATTCTACAAGTGTTATACGCCCATTTATGTAATATCCTTAGTATTTTTTTTTAACATCGCTAAAATATAACAACGTGTGCAATTTGTATATACAATAAAATGACAAAAAAGGTTTTAACAGTCATTGCTGCTAAAATGACTTTTGACGTCCGCATATTATTATAGCATATTCAAAAAAATAAAAACACTGTTAATGGTGATATATTATTATCGGGCTTAGACATACAATCATCCATTAATATTGCAAGAATATATATAATAGATATTATAAAATCTAATGGACACAGCATGAGAAGTTATAAATAGAGAAGTTCTACATGAGAAGTTGTACATAGCAAACAAACCTCTACAACGTACATAACGACATCAATTTCTCATTTACATACATTAGATTTTATATAAGGACTAATTGAAAAGAATCGCATTCCCGATCGAAACGTATAAGTTTGAATTTAATAAAGAATTTGACTAAACACATACATCCAGTGTCTGGCTCTAATTGGAATTTTATATATTATGATTTTATTCAGCCTTCTTTATACATTTTTTAATTGTGCTATTACTACACACAATAGATATGAAGAAGGATAAGAATATTATAATTCTTATTCATATGAACTTTTAACATTTTACCACTCTGACTATTCTAATTTACGTATGTACCCGAAAAAGTAAAGGATATGAGAACTGCGTTACCGAAAAATTTTATAGGTTTCAAGTAGTTTCATAATTATAATTTACTGTAACATTGATAATGACCACGGCGGCGACAAACCGTTTTTTGTAATTTATTTATTATTTGGAATTAAAGCTTCTTTGTTACACATCTGGCTCTTAGCCCTCTATTTGTAGTCTGTAGTAATATTAAAAGGCATACCTTGCAAGGATGTTTTTTTTCCATTGTGCTTCGTGTCCTCATGTTAACGAAGTACCATTTAGTATAGGAATTCTTTGCACATTCATAAATTCGCAATAATGTTAATGAAACAGAAATTTGTGCTGTTTTAGAGATCGAATATGTCTATAAAGTTACCGTTGCAATATATCATTTGTCACAAAATAATTTAAGTATATAGGACGAATTACCAAATAATTTCATTTCTTCTTGATATTCAAGAATGTACCTACCTAAACATATCACCACAAAACTCACAATGATAAGGTTTTTCGCCTATATGAGTTCTCTCATGAATATGCAAAAGCGCTTTGTTTTTAAACCCTTTATTACACGTTCCGCATTTGTATGATACACCTCCAATGTATATATTCTTATTAGAATTATAAGTTTCATCATTGTTATGCTTTAATTTCACGTGATGTGTTAGGATATTTTTCCGGCTGCGAAACGATCGTTGAAATATTTATTACTTTTATCAGTTAATTTAATCATTGATAATGAATTAATAAAGCATTTCCTTATAACTCTTCCAGTTCACTTAAATAATCACCTAAATTTTTTTTCACAAAATTCGCATTGATAAGGTTTTTCGCCTGCATGGGTTCTTTCATGTCTACGAAACTGCGTTTTGTACATAAACTCCTTATTACACGTTCCGCATTTGTATGCTATACCTCCAATGTATAGGTCCTTATTAGACTTGAAACGTTCATCACTGTTATGCATTGCGACCACATGCTGTCTTAAGTTACTTTTTGTCCTACAAAACGACCGTTACAATTTTTATTACATTTACTAGTAATTTAATCATTGATAATGAATAACCAAAGCATTTTTCTAACTCTTCTTGTTCACTTAAGTACTCACCTACATTTATGTTTACAGAATTCGCATACATAAGGTTTTTCGCCTGTATGAGTTCTTTCGTGGTTACGTAAATGCGTTTTGTTCTTAAACTCTTTATTACACGTTCCGCATTTGCGTAATACACCTCCTGCATATAGGTCCTTATTAAACTTGAAACGTTCATCATCCTTATGTTTTGATATCATGTGACAACTTAGCTGTGCCTTTCGCCTGCAAATGGTTCAATGTAATATTTATTATTTTTTACCCGTTAATTTAATTATTGATATTGAATAACCAAAGAATTTTCCTAACTATTGTTATTCATTTAAATACTCACGCAAATTTATCTTTACAAAAATCGCATTGATAAGGTTTTTTCTCTGTATGAGTTATTTCATGTCTATGTAAATGCGTTTTGTATATAAACTCCTTATTACACGTTCCGCATTTGTGTGATACACCTCCAATGTATAGATTCTTATTAGACTTGAAACGTTCATGATCTTTATGCTTTGATATCACGTGACTACGTAGCTGTGTCTTTTGCCTGTAAATAGATCATTGTAATATTTATTATTTTTTACCTGTTAATTTGATCATTGATATTGAATAACCAAAGCGTTTTCCTAACTCTTGTTATTCACTTAAATACTCACCTACATTTATATTCACAAAATTCGCATTGATAAGGTTTTTCGCCTGTATGAGTTCTTTCGTGGCTACGTAAATGCGATTTGTTCTTAAACTCTTTATTACACGTTCCGCATTTGTGTAATACACCTCCTGCATATAGGTCCTTATTAGACTTGAAACGTTCATCATCCTTATGTTTTGATATCATGTGTATACGTAGATGTACCTTTTGCCTGCAAATGGATCATTGTAATATTTATTATTTTTTTCCTATTAATTTAATCAATGATATTGAATCATCCAAGCATTTCCTAACTCTTGTTGTTCACTTAAATACCCACCTAGACATGGGACCACGAATATCACATTGATAAGGCTTTTCGTTTTCATGAGTTCTCTCGTGTCTACGCAAACTCCAATTAGTCTTAAACCCTTTATCGCACGTTTTACATATGTGTAGTCTAATTTCATGTATGTCTCTATTCTTTTTATTTGAATTTGTCGGAGAGTTAGAGCGATCTTCTTAAAATTAAAGAAAGACCTTGTTGTGAAAAAAATGTATATTGTAGCAGAATTCCCATAAAAGACCCCGCACTTTTCTTATGAGAAAGTACTTTCGTCAAAATGGCTGAAAATTTTGTATGTTGTAGTTTATGGTGTCCTGTCGATCAAAAGTGTCAATGGGCACGTGGTCCTAGAATCAACGAGTTCTGAGATATTGGAGCTCAAAAAGCGACATCGGCGTCATATCGATTATTATGAAAAGTAACATATTGCTACGTTGCTTTCTACGAGTAATATTCAGTATATTTCATTGGTATATAAAAAAACATGTTTTTATTGTCTTGAATATATATTTATTATCTTCACGGCATGTTAGTTGGTTGTACGACACAAGCGTAGTGGTTCACCGGGTATTGATGCGTGTGTAAACTTTTACCGCAGCACCTGTAAAGCCTCGGTGGCCTAAGAAAATCATTTTCTCTCCCTTATATGAGTATTTATGTTTACAGAAAATTGTTAATAGATTGCGAATACCAAGTTATAGTATATGTGAAACAGCTCTAATGCCTCGAAATATGGTCAAACTGTATGGTGATGATAATGCAGATAGGCAGGGAAATAATTATGTCCAGACGAATTGATGCTGGGACTTGACATAACACCACTAACTCGGATATGCAACAATTGCAATTTTTCGATCGTACGAGAACTACAAGCACTGGAAAATGATCCTGAAAATGATATTGTTTCTAGACAATAAAAACATGTTTTTTTATATACCAATGGAATATTTATACTGTATATTAGAAGGCAACGTAGCAATATGTTACTTTTCATAATAATCGATATGAGGCCTATGTCGCCCTTTGAGCACCAATATCTCAGAACTTGTTGATTCTAGGACCACGTGCCCATTGAGACTTTTGATCAGGACACCATAAACTACGACATACAAAATTTTCAGCCATTTTGACCGAAAGTACTTTCCCATAAGAAACGTGCGGGGTCCTTTCAAAATACTCTACTCAAATTAAAGCGTCACCTGCAAGAACAAGCAAACTTCGAAAAAGAATGATTTCGTGAAAGATCATCCGACCGAAATGTTAAAGAAACAATTTTATATGTGTTATAATTACTACCATTCACATAATCATTTCAAAAAATTTCATGCTGATATTTTATAAAGTTAGAATATCATAAATAACGATCAAATCTTAAAGTTTTATCTGACATTTGTGAAGTTGCACGGTGCGAAATGATAATTATGCACAAATGAATTTTATGGCTTTCGAAAGATACAATCGTTTTTTGTATGTGATTTCCTTTTTCGTCGACTTATGTAAAATTTTTTCACCAATTTAGTCAACGTTGCAGTAAAATGTTTATTTTTACATCAACGTATAGTAATTTAGATAATGTAAATAGTACGGAGCACGATAGTAAGGAAATTGAGATAACAAGATTTATTCTTTCTGTTGCTCTTTTTAAACCGTATTAGTGCACATTTTTAATTTGTTACGTGGAATTTTCGCCAATATTGTTAAAAATATTGAAATCTGTTGCACCTTCTTTTTTATTTGTGTAACTTTATAAAATGTCGTTTGAAATAAATGTCTGAAAAAATCAGATTCATAGCTTTAAAGTATTGTTCTAAATATCTCGGTACGATGATTATTAACAAAAATATTTTATATCGAAATTTTTGTTTCTTTGTATGATGCATTATTTAATGTATTAATTTTGTTGATAATATTTTAATGTTCAATGGCATGAATAAAAATTAACTTGGAAAGAAAAGGGCACTAGGAGTTAAGCGTAGATAACTTCATGCAACGCCGATATATGATATATCTAGCAAAAATCTATCTATTATAAAAAATTATTAACTAAATAAGCTTACATGTTTCGACTCATTTTTTAGCCTTCTTCAGAGACAATAAAATTTTCATAAATAAATTATAATTTTGAAAGTAACAAAGATAAAAAGATGTTTGATCATAATGAGCTCACTCACAACCGAGAAATAGATTCAAAAGACAATTTCATCCTAGGGAGCACAATCAAATGCATAATAACGGAAGAAAGGAAAGAAATAAAGAAAGTTGAAAAAATGGGAAATTAATTTTCCAGGATGTTACAGAAAAATAATCATTTCCAAATTAAATTTATCAAAATTATCTAAGGTAGGCTCCCACTATATTACCTTACTGATGAGTCCAGTAGTGGAAGCCAGGACGAAACGCCAACTTGTGATATTCTTCGCAATCTTATTTTTCACAGATTTCAATTATCATTACTTTAATATTAAATTTTAATATATGTCTTTCAACATATTATTAAGATCTAATAAGATGCTATAAGCATCGGAAATTGTTAGATTGATTGTCAATCTAACTAAAGTGATATTACCGCGGTAATTATTTAGAGTTGCGTTGTAAGTCTGAAAAAATGTTCGGCACGCGATTAAGAGAACTACATACGCGATATATAAATTCACACATAATGATAATAAGCATCTTGATCTAGCTTTGACCGTGATAGGCTTTGCTTTGTGCTTCCTTCTTTCTTGTTATTGTTTAAATTTATCAAATTACAACTACCTCTCGGGAGTGAGGAGAATCACCATGTTCATCATGATACTACATCGCAAAACAATCTCAAAACCGGTCTTCAGAACAATTTAGGCCAGTCAGTCTCAAACACAGTAGTGTGTCACAGCAAATAGTTCGACGGTATTAAATTATCAAATCACAAAATTCAAATTACACGATTCACCACTATGCACCAGCGTGACTGACCAGATAGATAGACATAATAGACAACGTTATTTATATTCTGTCTATGATCGGGAAGTTGACCTTGGGAAGTCCCTCCGTGTCCGTTTGTAAATGAAGTCCTTGTGCTTGTCTCCTGACGGATATCATTTCTGAAATCAGTCTTTTTATTTATTCATTTCCCATTTTTTCAACTTTCTTTATTTCTTTCCTTTCTTCCGTTATTATGCATTTGATTGTGCTCCCTAGGATGAAATTGTCGTTTAAATCTATTTCTCGGTTGTGAGTGAGCTCATTATGATTAAACATGTTTTTATCTTTGTTACTTTTAAAATTATAATTTATTTATGAAAATTTTATTGTCTCTGAAGAAGGTTCAAAAATGAGTCGAAACATGTAAGCTTATTTATTTAATAATTTTTTATAATAGATAGATTTGCTAGATATATATCGACATTGCGTGAAGTTATCTACGCTTAACTCCTAGTGCCTTTTTCTTTCCAAGTTATTTTTTTATTTATACAGGAGTTTATTATTTAAGAAATAATATATTTTAAGGCATGAATAAAATTAAGAATAATTATATAAGTATTAAATCGCTTGTTATATTATAAAAAAACAACAAAAGTAAGGTGTTAATATTCGGTATCAACAAATTCTTCTGACGACTGTCTTTTACACACAACGTATTGTTGTAATAATATAATAATTTTATTGAAGAAAAGAAAGTTGCACATGGGCATCTGAAATTTACAATCACGATGCGAAAACAGCTTTATTTGACAATTTTCTTTCCTTTATTTTACAATTGACCAAGAGAGAACATTTGACATCTGAGTTATAGCTCATAGATTATTTGATTTGTTACGTGTATTTCGATATCTTTATGTATTTGAGACTGAAGAGGACTGCAGTGTGCGTCGAAACGTTTCGTGCTTAATTATGAATTTTTTATAATAAATTTGTCAACTGATAAATTGTTGCTTGTTTATACCGAATATTAACACCTTACTTTTGTTGTTTTTTTAAAAATAATTATTAGGGACTATATAATTCTTACCTCGCTGTTTGTGTTCATCTTCTTTTGTGTCATTATTCGTTTCTTCATTTTGATTAATATTTTTTGACTCAACTCTCTTATCCATCAGAGATATTTTTCAACTCACTTTACTATAACGTTCTTTATATTACTTTCGTACCTTACGCGTTCTAAATATATTTAGACACTTTTACAATTTTAGACTTTTCCTAAATTATAAAAAATCCAAAAAGGCAGTAATAATTTTAAGTACAATAAAATTATAATAAACCGATAGCTATCACGAAAAGTAATAAGCAAGTAACAGAAACCTGTGTCAAATAGATTCAGTTATAGATACTTAATATTTATAATACAAATATTTATAATACAAATATTTAAAACTATAAAGTCACCTCTCGACGTTGGATAGTTGTTAGATTTATTTAATAACTTTTATTAAAAAATTAAGATAAAGATGTGTAGATTAATACCAAATGATACGCTTGAATTTGAAATTGTTTACTGACAAATAAGCACGTCAATGTCTTGGGAACGACTGATCCAAGGTCTTCGTATGGGTACCTATTATAAATGTTCACATACATACAGATATAATTATTTGTGATTCTTTCGAGAACCGATAGGACATTTTGCATTATAGTTTCGGGAATCGTATAAACTGCGGAGAAATGTTCTTTAGGAAAACAAAACAACCAGTATCTTCTGTTTTTGCTTAAAGAAAACGGTGTAACCGTGGTGTTAATTGAAATTATAAAATATAGAGAAATTGATATTATACCACACAAGCTACACAGTTTACTTTTGCAAATAACAAAAAATACGGGTTGATGTACTTCAATAAAAAATACATTACCGTAATAGAAGCAGTAGTCAGAGCAGTAAGTCAGAGACCTTACAGAAGAATGTAATGTTAATTTTCGTAAGAACCGTTGATAAACAGACATGCACGCACACGCACCCGCACACACCTTACCAATTAAAGTATTGATACTGCTATGTCAGGACGTATTTTCAATTTGTGCATACCATAGTAATATCTATTGCTTGATCAAAAATTACACAGAACAAAATACTACATGATATAAGGATGGTAACCGATAAAATATCCACTGTTTAGTACGTATTTAACTCAACGAAATAGTTTCGGTGAATATTAGTTATGCGCTATGGACATATAGCTATACGGACTGTTTGTCAGTTGATCAGCAATGGCTGTTTTCAACAGTTACGTGAGAGGTTATCAAGATTTTTTAATAATGCTCATTTTGCAGTTTTTACGTTCTACAGAAAAAACAGCTTTGCAACTGATGTATCCTTTAACATCATTTGTTTAAATACTGATCCAAAGAAAAAAGAGAACATGTGCTAGTCATATATGGCCTGTTGCAATTGGAATTATTCAACTGAACGCAGTCAATGTTAAATCATTTCGCTTATATCGTTTTCGAAATTATTCGAGAGAAGCATTTGCTCCAAATTAATATCTATAATATGTGTAATTATATAACGAGTTGCAATCGTAATGATATGTGTAAAATTAATGTGTTAAATATTACTAAAGCAAAACATTAGGCTACGTCGAAAAATTAATGCGACAAACTGTAAAGGTAACGATTAAATTATTATTTTTATTGAAGAACTAATACATGTACAAGTTAATATTCCAATGAAAATTACAAATTTTATCCAGTTATCTATTACACGTCAAATATAATGTGAAACAAGAAAATTGTATTATTTTTTTGTTACAAATGAATAATATCTGGTAATAGGTATACAAAGTTATCAAATTACCTCAAATACAAACATTATTTGACATTATCTTCAAAGTTTATTGTCGTAATACATTACAAAATAAATTCGAAATGCAAAGAAATATTTCCCAGATATAGTCCAAACTGTTAATTGGTAAATATAAAACCTAAGATCAGTATTCATACATACTTATACTTTATTAACAATCGTCTTATTCCATTTCTAAAATTATATACTTTTCTATTCCAATATTCAAATATTTAATACGGTTAAATAAATTTATTGTATGCTTCGTCTTCACGCACAGTCACTGAAAACATTCGTTTCACGTATATTTCATGTAAGAGTAAAAACTTTGACAACCATTCTAAAAAAGTCGCTCTTCAAGGATATATAATACATAAAAAATTTTTAATTCAGCTACATAGTTTGAAAAACCATACGTCAATAAGTTGCATTTCTTTCAATTATAGATACAATTTCTATTTTCTGAAATTCTATTCACATGTACAGTCACACGATGCATTGTAATTGTTTGTGATACTACATTATTTTTTATAATCACATGATTTCAAGGATAGCGCAAGGATTTTGAGCAACCCATAAAGTTTGATTTATGAACATTAATTAATTGATATAGTCATGTAATACCGTCATGTTACTTTATTGGTAAGTATCTATCAGATATCAAAGAAAAACACAAATAACGCTTACAGTGGTATACGCGCGGGAATTGCACCTATATTTAAGATCGTACAGTCGCGATAATATCATTCATTATTTAATCCCTTCCAAGATTCAGCTACGGTATCTTCGCATTCAATTTTTGCCATTGATGGAAACTGTTGTGTGCACATGTATTGTAAATACCGGAAACGCACTCGGAAGAAAAGGACACGGATATACTCAGCCAAACGTAACTCATTGATATCCAACGATTATAAAGTGGACTAGCTCTAACAAATGTTAATAAAAATTAAATACATCCAACGATTACATTTATTCTTAGTCAAAAGTTTAAATATCGTAAAGCAATTTTTCATAATCACAGTTTCACGTTTCATCATTGCAATACCGTTTCTAACTAAAATATCGAAGTTAGCTCGAGACCTACAAAGAAAATCACGACATTTTCATGAACCTCGTATACATGTCGAACATAAAAGTAAAGCACCTTATTGCTCACGTCTCAACACTGAAATGAAATGTCACGGCAAAAGCGAATGAATGTTATTTAGTACAACGTGTAGCTTTAATTTCAGGAAAGTCATATTGTCTTTAATTTGTGTAAGTGTACTACATTAAATTAGGCGTAGACATAAGTCAAAGTATTAATTACATTTAAATAATTGGCACATAAATATAATTAAGTGTTAAAATAAATTTGTATAAATTATTACTGTCATAATTTATATCTTTCAACATTGTAAGATTATTCTACAAGTGTTATACGCCCATTTATGTAATATCCTTAGTATTTTTTTCTAACATCGCTAAAATATAACAATTTTTATATACAATAAAATGACAAATGAGATTTTAACAGTCATTGCTGCTAAAATGACTTTTGACATCCGTATATTATTATAGCATATTCAAATAAAAACACTTTTAATGGTAATATATTATTATCGGTCTTAAACATACAATCATCCATTAATAGAGAGTGCAAGAATATACGATAATAAACATTATAAAATTTTAGCGAATGAAATTTTTCCTGATAGGATACAACTGAATTTCTGGAATATATGTAATAGATCCTGAATTCACAATATGGTTTTGAAATTAAATGACATGTAGATCAGATTGACGTACGTAAATTTACTTATTCTTTGACGAAGCGTTGATAAAATATCGTTCTTCTTTGCAAATTTAAAACGTAGACCTTTCAATCGTGGACACGATTCTTTTCAATACAATTTAACATTATATAAAATCCAATGTACATGAGAAGTTGTAAATAGAGAAGTTCTACTTAAGAAGTTTTACATGGCAAACAAATCTCTACAACGTATGTAATGACATCTATTTCTCATGTACATATACATTAGATTTTATATAAAAACTAATTATAATGAAAAGAATCATATTCCCGATCGAAACGTTTAAGCCGACGGCACACGATGCTTGTTTTCCTGCTAGGATCGCATGCGAGGCGTTATGTTAGCAGCCGTACTGGCTACGCTGATAGAAACATGGCGTACTGTATGCTGCTGTGCGTGCTAGCATGCTAGTTTTTTTTTCTGCTGAATGCGCCCAATGATAGATCCGGTGCTATTTTTCTTGCGAGATTTGCTGTTAGGAGGTAAAGAATTTAGGTTAGAATATACACAAAAGGTGTATATTCAAGAAGACAGTATAATTTAATATATGTTTTACGTATTAATAAACAAATGAAAAACTGAGAATAAATTTATAGGAAAAATGGAAGCTATTGTACTAGAAGGCAAAGGTTAACTGCGATTGTTCTAATGCTAATAGCAACTAGAGAATGGGAACAAAAAAATAAAAAAAAAAGAATTTGGGCGAGAGAGTGATTAATATACGTAGAAACACAGCTCAAACTACCAGAACAATGCTGCACAAAGAATTAAGATATATGTATATAATATATATTAATATACTCTTTATCTTATATAAAATTATACATGTGTGAAGCCATGTCTATAGCAGTACTTTCATCACAGCAGCACGCAACGCAGACCACAACGCAACGCGCAACGAATCTATCAGCTAAACCAGCAGAAAAACAAGCATCGTAGTTTTAATTTAATAAAGAATTTTAATAAACACATACATCCACCGTCTGGCTCTAATTGGTATTTTATATATTATGATTTTATTCAACAAAGCCTTCTTTATACATTTTTTAATTGTGCTATTACTACACACAATAGAAGTACAGAAGGATAATAATATTATAATTGATTTTATAATTTATATATGAATGAACGAATTCGGTTGAAGACTCAAAATTATGATTTTCTTTAAAATCTTTTAAAGTGATATTCTTTAAAGTCTTCTTTTACAAACGAGAAAGTGTAATTTTAATCGAAATATTTACGGACTTGTGGCTGTTTGGATCTGATAACGAAGACTAATGAAAACAGAAAATTAGCATATTTTTAATTACTGCGTAGAGGCGTAAACACAAAGGCGTTTAAGTGAGAAAGAATTGAAAAACAATTATATTAAAGAAAATATTATAAAAGAAAGCTGTATAAAACAACAAAGAAATATGAAATGATTTGGACGATGTCACGTAACGTAATCTATTGTACATATTGTATTATATATAATCTATTATATGTATATCTATTACGTTATCTGACATCGTCGAAATCACTTGCTCGGTAATACTACGATTGCAAACTTGCTCACATTTCTGAATGTAACAATTTCATAACTATGATAAGGATTTCAACTATCTGCGTTCTTCTTTATTATTTATAAATTTTCAACACTTTATCTAATAAAATTGCAGTGTCTGTTTCTTATTCATGAACTTTTAACGTATTACCACTCTGACTATTTTAATTTATATACTCGAAAAAGTAAAGGATATGAGAACTGCGTTACCGAAAAATTTTATAGGTTTCAAATAGTTTATTCATAATTATAATTTACTGTAACATTGATAATGACCCGGGAGGCATCAAACCGTTTTTTGTAATTTCTTTATTATTTTCAATTAAAAGCTTCTTTGTTACACATCTGGCTCTTAGCCCTCTATTTGTAGACTGAAATAATGTTAAAGGACATACCTTAATTGCAAAGATGTTGTCTTTTATATTCGTGCTTCGAGTCCTCATGATAACCAAGTACCATTTAGTATGGGAATTCTTTTCATATTCATTAAATTCGTAATAACGTTAATTATTTTAGTGAAACAAAAATTTGTGCTGCTTTAGAGACCGAATATGTCTATAAAGTTACCGTTGCAATGTATCATTCGTTACAAAATAATTTAAATATATAGAAGGAATTACCAAATAATTCTTGATATTCAAGAATGTACCAACCTAAACATTTCTCCACAAAACTCACAATGATAAGGTTTGTTGCCTATATGAGTCCTCTCATGAATATGCAAATGCGCTTTGTTTATAAACCCTTTATTACACGTTCCGCATTTGTGTGATACACCTCCTGAATATAGGTCCTTATTGAACTTGAAACGTTCATCACCCTTATGTTTTGATATCACGTGACTACTTAGCTGTACCTTTTGCCTGCAAATGGATTATTTTAATATTTATTATTTTTTACCCGTTATATTAATTATTAATATTGAATAACCAAAGCATTTTCCTAACTCTTGTTGTTCACTTAAATACTCACCTACATTTATATTTACAAAATTCGCATTGATAAGGTTTTTCGCCTGTATGAGTTCTTTCGTGGCTACGAAAATGCGTTTTGTTCTTAAACTCTTTATTACACGTTTCGCATTTGTATAATACACCTCCTGCATATAGGTCCTTATTAGACTTGAAACGTTCATCATCCTTATGTTTTGATATCATGTGTATATGTAGATGTACCTTTTGCCTGCAAATGGATCATTGTAATATTTATTATTTTTTTCCTATTAATTTAATCATTGATATTGAATAACCAAAGAATTTTCCCAGCTCCTGTTGTTCACTTAAATACTCACCCACATTTATATTTACAAAACTCGCATTGATAAGGTTTTTCGCCTGTATGGGTTCTTTCATGTCTACGAAACTGCGTTTTGTACTTAAACTCTTTATTACACGTTCCGCATTTGTGTGATATACCTCCAATGTATAGGTCCTTATTAGACTTGAAACGTTCATCACTGTTATGCATTGCCACCACATGCTGCCTTAAGTTACCATTTATCCTATAAAACGACCGTTACAATTTTTATTACATTTACCAGTTAATTTAATGATTGATATTGAATAACTAAAGCATTTTCCTAACTCTTGTTCACTTAATACTCACCTACATTTATATTTACAAAATTCGCATTGATAAGGTTTTTCGCCTGTATGAGTTCTTTCATGGCTACGTAAATCCGTTTTGTACTTAAACTCCTTATTACACGTTCCGCATTTGTGTAATACACCTCCTGCATATAGGTCCTTATTAGACTTGAAACGTTCATCATCCTTATGTTTTGATATCATGTGTATACGTAGATGTACCTTTTGCCTGCAAATGGATCATTGTAATATTTATTATTTTTTTCCTATTAATTTAATCATTGATATTGAATAACCAAAGAATTTTCCCAGCTCCTGTTGTTCACTTAAATACTCACCCACATTTATATTTACAAAACTCGCATTGATAAGGTTTTTCGCCTGTATGGGTTCTTTCATGTCTACGAAACTGCGTTTTGTACTTAAACTCTTTATTACACGTTCCGCATTTGTGTGATATACCTCCAATGTATAGGTCCTTATTAGACTTGAAACGTTCATCACTGTTATGCATTGCCACCACATGCTGCCTTAAGTTACCATTTATCCTATAAAACGACCGTTACAATTTTTATTACATTTACCAGTTAATTTAATGATTGATATTGAATAACTAAAGCATTTTCCTAACTCTTGTTCACTTAATACTCACCTACATTTATATTTACAAAATTCGCATTGATAAGGTTTTTCGCCTGTATGAGTTCTTTCATGGCTACGTAAATCCGTTTTGTACTTAAACTCCTTATTACACGTTCCGCATTTGTGTAATACACCTCCTGCATATAGGTCCTTATTAGACTTGAAACGTTCATCATCCTTATGTTTTGATACCATGTGTCTACGTAGATGTACCTTTTGCCTGCAAATGGATCATTGTAATATTTATTATTTTTTTCCTATTAATTTAATCATTCATATTGAATAACCAAAGAATTTTCCCAGCTCCTGTTGTTCACTTAAATACTCACCCACATTTATATTTACAAAACTCGCATTGATAAGGTTTTTCGCCTGTATGAGTTCTTTCGTGGTTACGAAAATGCGTTTTGTTCTTAAACTCTTTATTACACGTTCCGCATTTGTGTAATACACCTCTTGTATATAGGTCCTTATTAGACTTGAAATGTTCATTATTGTAATGCATTTTTACCACGTGCGTCCTTAAGTTATCTTTTGTCCTGCAAAACGACCGTTATAATTTTTATTACATTTACCAGTTGATTTAATCAATGATATTGAATCATCCAAGCATTTCCTAACTATTGTTGTTCACTTAAATACCCACCTAGACGTGTGTCTACGAATATCACATTGATAAGGCTTTTCGTTTTCATGAGTTCTCTCGTGTCTACGCAAACTCCAATTAGTCTTAAACTCTTTACCACACGTTTTACATATGTGTAGTCTAATTTCATTTATGTTTCTATTCTCTTTATTTGAAATTGTCGGCGAGTTAGAGCGATCATCTTAAAATTAAAGAAAGACGTTGTTGTGAAAAAAAATGAAAATTGTAGCATAATTCCCATAAATTTTAAAATATTCTACTCAAATTAAAACGTCACCTGCAAGAACAAGCAAACTTCGAAAAAGAATGATTTCGTAAAAGATCATCCTACCGAAATGTTAAAGAAACCATTTTATATAATGTAATCTCTACCATTCACATAGTCACTTCAAGAAATTTCATGCTGATATTTTATAAAGTTAGAATATCATAAATAACGACAAAATCTTAAAGTTTTATATAACATTTGTGAAGTTGCACGGTGCGAAATGATAATTATGCACAATTGAATTTCATGGCTTCCGAAAGATAGAATCGTTTTTTGTATGTAATTTCCTTTTTCGTCGACCTCTGTAAGATCTTTTCACCGATTTATTCAACGTTGCAGTAAAATGTTCATTTTTACATCAACGTATAGTAATTCAGACAATGAAAATAGTACAGAGCACGATAGTAAGGAAATTGAGATACCAAGATTTATCCTTTCTGTTGCTTTCTTTAAACCGTATTAGTGCACATTTTTAATTCGTTACGAGGATTTTTTGTAAATATCGTTAAAAATATTGAAATATGTTGCACCCTCTTTTTTATTTGTGTAACTTTAAAAAATGTCTTTGTTTGAAATAAATATCTGAAAAAAACAGATTCATTAGCCCTGTTCTTTTTGGCTGCACTGTCTGAACTGGTACATACAGTGCAATAAGTTTAAGTGAAACAAACGTATATCTGTTTCACAACAACTTATTGCACTCTATGCAATAAATTCGTGAAAAAGAACAAGCCTATAGCTTTAAAGTGTTGTTCTAAAAATCTCGGTTCGATGATTTTTGACAAAATTGTTCTACATCAAAATTTTTGTTTCTTTGTGTGATGCATTATTTAATGTATTAATTTTGTTGATCACATTTTAATGCACAATGACATGAATAAATGAATTGACATGAATTACAAAATTATTTAATATTTATTATTACGCGTTGCCGGAAAAGACGCTATTCCTATTTAAAATAAATATTGCGAAAAATATCACTACGTCGACCCGCCATCAGAGGTCTATGGATATTCTCAATTTCTCGCAAATGCTTTGACACGCGCATATAATATTTCTTCATATAGTATCTTGACTTAACATCTAACACAGGCGTATAATGTAGGCTTCCATTACAATGCCTTACTGATAAGTCCAGTAATGGAAGCCGGGACGAAACGCCAAAAACTATGAGATATTTTTCGTAATATAAAGAATAAATTAAAGATCCAACTATTTTTACGGAATTTTAAATTATCATCTTCATATTTAATTGTAATTAAGTAAAAATCGATGATATTATAATACTACTGTAGTATTTATGCGTTATGTCTGAATGTTATCAGCGCGCAATTATGAGGGGACTACATATGTGGTATATAAAAATTCACGCATAATTATAATAAGCACTTTGATCCAGCTTTGACCGTTATAGACGGTAATTTTTCTTCGTTCGTTTGACATGAATAAAATTAAGAATGATTATTAGGGACTATATAATTCTTACCGGGCTGTTTGTGTTCATCTTCTTTTGTGTCGTTATTCGTTTCTTCATTTTGATTAATATTTTTAGATTGAACTCTCTTATCCATCAGAGATATTTTTCAACTTACTTTACTATAACGTTCTTTATATTACTTTCGTACTTTACACTGTTTAAATATATTTAGACACTTTTACAATTTTAGACCTTTCCTAAATTATAAAAAAACCCTAAAAAGCAGTGATAATTTTAAGTACAGTAAAATTATAATAAACTGATAGCTATCACGAAAAGTAAGAAGCAAGTAATAGAAAACTGTGTCAAATAAATTTAGTTATAGATACTTAATGTTAGTTATAATACAAATATTTAAAACTATAAGGTCATCTCTCTGACGTTGGATAGTTACCTTTATTTAAAAACTTTTATTCAAAAATTAAGATATATAGATGTATAGATTAATACCAAATGATACGTTTGAATTTTAAACTGTTTGCTGACAAATAAGCACGTCAATGTCTTGGAAACGACTGATCCAAGGTCTTCGTATGGGTACCTATTATAAGTGTTCATATACATACAGATATACTTATGTACATATTATAAGTGATTCTTTCGAGAACCGATAGGACATTTTGTATTATAGTTTCAGGAGTCATATAAACTGCGGAGAAATGTTCTTTAGAAAAGCAAAACAACCCGTATCTTCTGCTTGAACAAAACGGTGTAACAGTGGTGTTATTAGAAATTATAGAATATAGAGAAGAATTGATACTATACTACACAAGCTACACGGTTTACTTTTGCAAATAAAAAATCAAATTTAATAAAAAATACATTACCGTAATAGAAGCAGTAGTCAGAGCAGTAAGTCAGAGACCTTACAACAGAATGTAATGTCAATTTTCGTAAGCATCGTTGATAACAGACACGCACGCGCACGCACTCGCACTTACCAATTAAAGTATTGATACTGCTATGTCAAGACGGATTTCCAATTTGTGCATACAATAGTATAATTTCTATTGCTTGATATCTAAAATTACATAGAAAAAAATACTACGTGTTATAAGGATGGTAAACGATAAAATATCCGCTGTTTAGTACATATTTATCTCAACGAAATAGTTTCGGTGATTATTAGTTATGCGCTATGGACATATAGCTATACGAACCGTTTGTCAGTTGATCAGTAATGGCTGTTTTCATTAACAGTTACGTGCGAGGTTGTCAATATTTGTGTACTTTTAGATGATACAATCAGACTGTTAGAATTAAAAATACACGATAATAGTATTTAGCATTCTCTCAACAAATGAGTCGGCTGAATGCAGTTTATGATTTACATACGTATTGTGTCGAAGAATAAAGATCAATATCGCACTATTGTCATAAAGATCTTTAATATCGGTCATATTGCAGCTTTTACATTCTACAGAAAAAACAGCTTTGCAACTGACGTATCCTTAAAGAGCCTTGGCACACAAAAAAATTAAGGCAGTAAGACGTAAGCAGTAAGGAAATCAACGTCGTGGATTCACTACAGCTTAAGTTATGGCTTACGGCCTCTACTATGATTGATCAATTCGCTCACTGCTAAGTCTTACTGCCTTATTTTTTTTTGTGTGCCAGGGCCCTAACATAATTTGATTAAATTCTGATCCAAAGAAACATGACGGCATGTGCTAGTCATATATAGCCTGTTAAAATGGTTGTAATTCTAATTATTCTACTAAACGCAGTCAACGTTAAATCATTTTGCTTACATCGTCTTTGCAATTTTTCGATTGAAGCATTTGTATCAAGTTAATGATTTTTGTTATTATATAACGAGTTGCAATAATAATATGTGTAAAATTATTATGGTAAATATTACTAAAGCAAAACATTACATTATGTCGAAAGATTAATGCGACAAGCTATAAAGGTAACGCTTAAATTATTATATTTATTAAAGAATTAATACATATATACATGTTTAAATTTCATTGAAATTTGTAACATTAATGCATTTATCTATTACACGTCAAATGTAATGTGAAATCAGAAAATTGTATTAGTTTATTCGTTACATACGTATATAATACCTTGTAATAAGTATTCTAAGTGAACTAATTATCACAAATATAAACATTATTGGACATTATTTTCAATGTTCAACATAAATTAAAAGGACGAAGTAAGAATCAGAAGTAAATTACATTATATTCAAAGTTTATTGTCGTAATACATACATTACAAAAGAAAGTCGAAATGCAGAAAATAGTACATTCCCAAACATAGTCCAAACTGTTAATTATTAAATATAAACCCTAAAACATCAGTACAAACATATTTAATACATTTTATTAAGAATCGTCTTATTCCATTTCTAGTATTATATATTTTTCTGTTCCAATATTCAAATATTTAATACGATTAAATAAATTTATGTACGCTTTGTCTTCACGTTCAATCGCTCAAAACATTCGTTTCACATATCTTTCATGTAAGAGTACAGACAACCATTCTAAAAAATTTACGTTACAAGATAACATAAAAATTGTTTAATTCAGTTACATAATTTGTATAACCATACGTTAATAAGTTGCATTTCCTTTAATTATACAATTCTGTTTTCTGAAGTTTTATTCACATGTACAGTTACATGACGCATGGTAATTTTTTGTAATACCACATAATTTTTTAATCACATGATATCAAAGATAGCGTAATGATTTTGAACAATTCGTTACATTTGATTTATTAATATTAATTAATTGTGATGTAGTCATGTAATACCGTCATGTTATTTTTTTGGTAAGTATCTATTAGATATCAAAGAAAAGCACAAACAATGCGTACAGTGGTATACGCGCGGGAATTGCACCTATATTTAAGATCGTACAGTCGCGATAATATCATTCATTATTTAACCCCTTCCAACATTCAGCTACGGTATCCTCGCATTCAATTTTCGCCATTGATGGAAACTGTTGTCTGCACATGTGAATACCAGAAGCTCACTCCGAAGAAACGAGCACGGATATACTCAGCCTAACGTAACTCAATGATATCCAACGATTATAAAGTGGACTAACAAATGTTTATGAAAATTAAATACATCCTACGATTTTATTTATTCTTACA